AGAATTGTAGATTTGTACAGCACTGCTTTCTTAGCGCCATCACCGCGCTTACTGTTAATAAAAATAAATGTACAACAGATAACCTGCACCGTGAAGAAAATGGCCCGGTACATAGCGCCAAAAATGGCATACATACACTAAAACTTTCGCTTTCGAGCTCTCCAAATCACTTTTTTGTAATAACAGCATTTGTTTCCGATTTTAAAATGAATTCCAAAATTTTAAAAAATTATGGGAAAATGCTATGAGCCTGAGATTGCTATGAGCCACTTTCAACTTTATGGCTATGTGTCTTTTACAGCAAAGTTTCAATAAGATCGAATGATAACCACACTTTTGGTACACAACAATGCATGTGAACTTTTCGCTTAGTTCGTCATATCTCGGCAATCAGATATTGCGCGCAAACGGTTTTCAGAACAATGTATTCAAATCATTTAGCTTTAAAGCTAATATAAAGTATTACAAAAAAGTGATTCGGAGTGCGCGAAAGCAAAAGTTTTAGTGTATGTTTCACATTTTTGACGCTATGTACCGGGCCACTTTCCTTAACGCAAGAAATTAATCATCGGGCTTATACCAAGTGGCTGAACAAATTGGCCCTCGCCGTTTTCGGTTTATTTCATACGAACCATTTCATACGCACCTGAAACTGTTAAGACTCATGCGACAGAGAATTGTATTGGCTACTCAGAACATCTAAAATTTGTTTTCGGGAAATTAGGCTTTGCAGGTCAAAAATGGTACGAAATGAAGTTGTGTAAATATTTATTGCTTTCCAAGCTGAATTGGGAATCTAGTGTCATTTCGTTCCCATACGCAATATTTGAATTTACCTAACTGTTTTTAGCAAGAGAGCAACAGTGTCAGTTTTAACAGAAAAATTTTATTGGCATGGTGCTTGCGCCGGTGGAGCTTTACCGTCAAGCGCATTGTGTTCCTTGACGAAAAAGATAAGTTTTTTATCTGGTTCGTCGTAGTTATTTGTGTTAAGTCCAATTTTTGGCTGCATGACAGGCCGCAACGCAAAATGGCGGTTTGGTTGGATAATGTAGCGAAGATACTGGCTCTGCAGAAACGGGCGTGATCTGGATCAGTTCCTTACGCATTAAATTTTATGATGGAATTAATTTTCGAAAGGTCTGTCTGTGGATTTTATGAGAATTTAAGCGCATGGGGCCTCAGCTCTTCACTGTCACTGCGCACGGTCACTGAAAAACCGCCGTTCTAAACACTAAACTAACAGAAAACAGTCCCTCCATCAGAAATTGTACGTCGATTTTCGCTAACCTATTCAGCCAAAAAAAGACTTTTTAATTTAAAATTAGGGAAATTCGAAATTTTCTCTCCGGCACACCTCTACAGAGTAACTACACCCAGAAAGTCAAACCGGTACTGTATACATATTTTTTGATATAGTTTAAGCGGTTCTGTTTTATTGTATACACGGTGTACCCATTGAGGTCAAAACTAAAGTTTGGAACATAATTTAGTTTATCCATAAGTATTGTAGAAGTAAGGACTGAATGTATAATAAAGTGCTGATTTTCGGCATGATTATTGCCTTCTCCGGTATGTTAAAATTCTCACACTTTTCGTTAGGAAATTCTCAGGAGTGTAAACGAATTTCTCACCAAATGGTAGTTATCGCAAGTACTGCCAGTTAGCCATAAGAGTACCACATTAATCTGCACCAACAATACTCGCATCCGTCACAAGCAAACAAACAAACAGGCTTCTGTAGAAAAGATAGATCTGTGCGAAGCAGCCGCTGCCCGGCAATCGCAGCTAATGGGAAACTCGCATACGCAACTCGGCAGCACTATACACTGGAATCTTCGGGATGCGGAACTGCTTTGCCCGGGGCCAGTTGCGCCGGTTTCTCGGGGACGGGCGGCGGAGTGGCGGAGGCGCTGCGTGGACTGACCGACGAGTCGGAGCGCTTGCTCAGCGCCGGCGAATCGCGTCGCAACGTTCCCGAGCCGACGCTCTTGGGAGGGAGGTCCAGGAGCCCCGGGAAGAGCTCCTCCGGCAGCGGCGGCTTCTCCGGCGCCAACGGGACGATGGTCTCCAACGTCTTACGCCGATTCAAAGTTCCTGTCATGGTCAATGTAGCGTTACGGCGGTTACGGCCATCACGGATTGTCCTGTCCTTTCTCCGCAGGTAGACATCCACGCCACGGTGGGTTAAACAGCATTGTCTGCCGCGGGTTGGTATCAGCGGGTGTACCTGCAAAATTAGAACCGAGGGGACATCACACACGACAGCCCGTCGCCCCGATGGTTGCACGACCTTCGCCTGGAAGCGCGGCACGTGCCTCGCTTGGGACGTAACTTGTGTAGACACGGTGGCAGCGTGTCACGTAAAGGCAACCTCCACTAATGCAGGAGCAGCTACAGCGCAACCGGAAGAGAAGAAAGCGAGACTGTATTCTTATTTAGTTGGACTTTACATCTTCGCACCAATCGCGTTTGAAACAATGGGACCATGGGGACCGTCGGCTATCGCGATTGTTCTAGAGCTTGGTAAAAGACTTCAGCAACATACTGTAGAATTCCGCTCCCACGAATTTCTGCGACAACGATTATCTCAGGAAATTCAGAGAGGAACGCGGCATCTGTATAAGGAACCGTGGGCGACCTTACCTTTCAATATGTCTCAATTTTTCTTATGTTTTCTCGTGCTTCTTTGTTTTCTGACAATGTCTTACGAGTTTTCTTGCGACTTGTCTCAAATATCTACGTTACCCCAACCGATCGCATGCGCGAAATGGTCGTAGCGACGGGTCACCTGGCTAAGTACGGTGTAAAATTCGGAAAGTACAGTACTACAATGTGGCACGCGCCAAAATAATTCTATACAGAGTCTAAACGCACTTGACGCTCGGGTACTAACCGGTCACCGGGGTCTCCTGGATGCTAATTAAACAGGCGCCACATGAATTCGCCTGGTCACATGCGCCTTCTACCACGTTTTCGTTTTCGAAACCGTTTTCGAAACAACCAGCCGAACAAAGCAATCGCTGTGTTTTATATTGGCTATAGTTGAAAACGTACAGTTGTTTTAGTAGTGCAGAGTAAGTAATAACCGGCAGCCAGCAGATATATTTTTCGATTAAGGAATGTTGCACACTACTGTCAGCAGTTATGTATCTTGTTAATAACCCTGTTCTCTAAATCGTAAAACATGCTTACGCATTTTATTAAATTCCCGGTATAGTGATGTATTCCCGGTCTCGTTTGTGTACATGAATCTTTACATCATCAGAAAATTGCCTGCCAGCGAGTTGCACAGCAGCGCCTACAAACAGTTGGCGAGAACACCACTGGAAACCGAGAATTGGCCGAAAAATGCACCGATGGGGGAAATCGAACCCCGGCTACGTCGTTGGATCCGCGTAGGCAGTACCACTGCACCACGGCGCAATACGTTGAAATCCTTGAAAGACTTGATCGCTGTACGTGAGCCACTTCTCTGCTCACACCCCCTTTGCAGCTTTCGCTACGTCCTCGTAGTGAGCCTAAGCGATCCTTCAAGCAGCGGCTCCGGCTCACCGCATCCTCACCGTTCGAGGTTTTGCTACGTTCCTCCGCTTTTGAGGTTGGCACACGAAGTCGCACTCGGGACTCGAGAGGTTGGGTTCGAACCACGATCTGCTACCATAAAACCAGGGCGCTGTCCACTGGAAACCGAGATACGGCTGAAAAAGGCGCCGATGGGGGAATTGAACCGCGGCTATGTCGCTAGATCCGCGTAGGCAGTACCACCGCAGCACGGCGCAATACGTTGAAATCCTTTGAAAGACTTTGTCGCTGTACTTCAGCCGCTTCTCTCCCTCACAGGCGCATCTTTCGAAGCCAAAACACACCTGTGGCACAGTTCGTACCAAAGAAAAAAAAGTGAATCATTTTTTCGCTCCTTGTAGTCACAGTAGACATCTGTATACATGCTGTAGACACCCTGTAGACCTATCGGTAGTCACCTGGTTTCTTAGGATGTATACAGCGTGTCTAACGGTGTTTACAGGTTGTCTACGGATGTCTGGCTCGCTGTATAGGCAGCCCTTCTCAGGTTCATCTCGATACTCTGCCTGTATACACCGGTAGTCACTTGTAGACAGCCCGTAGACACCATTGTATACATACTGTAGTCACCTGGTTTCTTAGGTTTTCTTAGGATGTATACCTAGGTCGTCTACAGGGTGTCTACAGGTTGTCTACAGATGACTACAGTGACTACAAGAAGGAAAAAAACGTTCCAGTTTTTTTCTTTGGTACGAAACGTTCCATATATACGGCACTGATCGGTGGCTTTGAAGTTTTCGAGCGAAGAATACCAGTTTTTCAATTCGGTTTTCCCACTCATTCTGGCAACTGGCGTTGCTGTGTTAACGTTGTTTTACTAGAAAATTTTAGTATATATGCAATCTGGTGACCACTGTACGAAAACGTCAACGTAAGTTTTAAAGTGATCAAATCTTTGCAAAGTCGAAGTAACCATAGAGCACAGCTCTGATAATATTATGCGCATTCGAGCGGTATAAACTATAAACGCGTGAAACATTACCGGCGGATACTGCGCGTATTGTGCAGCAAATTATTACGCTAACCTCAAACACTTCCGGTGTAATAAAATTATGCGAGTGCAGTACACTGGGTACAGCGCTCGAGTATTGCTTATTTTGTGCGGTTATTATGTTACGCAGACCAAGATGATTCGATCAGCAAACCACGCTGGCTGGAAAACAGCAGCATATCAGATAATTGTGTTGTGCTGTACGTCCGCAGTCCGCCGCGGTATAATTATGTTTATAATGCGTTACAGCGTTCACGCATACTCGCACCGCACAGGCGCACTTTGCCGTTTCACGATAAGAATGCCGAGAAATCACTCTGCCGACGGAAATAAGCGCCCGAGGCGGCCGAATACGTCCGCGACCAGTCATTCGACGCTGGTGCATAAGAAACGATCGGCTTTTACTTTCTACGTTAATTTGCAGCCTGGAGATATTTTTTATACTAGCAGCCATGTGTATGTTATGTGCCGTTCCGTCTCGCGCTAACTGGGGTAATTAATTCTTCGTTGAACTGCATTCCACAAGAGCGATGCTGTCATCTATATATCACATATATGCCAGCATCGTCCTTGTAAAATCCGTATAAAGATCTCTACAATATATGTATAATATTATATGTATGTATATAAATATATGTATAGGTATATATATTATGCACACGTGTATATAGATGTACATGTATACTGTATATAGTATATAAGGGGAATTCAACTGCTGAGGCAGGCACTCCCTGAACTTGCTGCCGTCAGCCGGCTGGAGTTGTACGTTGGGGCTAAACATGGTGCTTGTGTACCGCGCCTGATTTAACCGTATGTAATACCGTAACGTCACACTCCAGGCGGGTGACGGCATCAAGAACAGGGAGTGCTGGCCTCAGCAGCTAAATTCCTCCTATATGTATATATACGTGTATGTACATTTATATATATATGTCTACGTATTATGCACAACGGAAATGGAACCGATATTATACAGACGATAACTGTCAACGCTGTACCGGTAAATACCGGTAACCGATGCTGTTATTGCAGCAATGGGTAAGGAGCTATCCAGCCGGGCCATGAACTTCAGTTTGACGCCGTTTCCGGAAGACGGCGCCGAACCTATGGTGGACGGGACATGTTTATCGTGGGAAGACATTACCCGGCTGGCGCTCCTCATCCTGCTGTTGACGGTGCTGGTGGGACTGCGCGTCTACCAACTGCTGATGGAGCTTAAACGGTTGGAGCTCACCGTCCGATCAAACGGGGACTGGCTTAGCGGACGACCAGCAGTCTCTAACAACGCCATGCCCTTCAAAGGTAAGCCTCTGCTGTAGAACTACACCGGTAGCTTGCAATCGGAAGTGGCTACTGTCCAGAAGCAAGACCTACGAGGAAGGTGCATCTTCCAGCGATAGACCGACCTCAGACGACCATCAATCGATAGCCGTGCAGGTTGGGCACGCTGCCAGCCGGCCATGGACGAGTCTTAGTGCAAAATCTGTAAAACGCTACCCAGTAGTTTGGCATTGTTTATTGCTAGAAAACCTAGCTTTTATAAGCACATCTTTCGGGAGGGTTTTAATTTAATTTACTGCTTTTAACCTATAAGGTTTGCTGCAGAGGTTAATAATTATTACAATTCTATCGCGCTTAAGCATCGCTGGCGATTTTGCTCACCCGGCCATGTTGCCCCAGCACGGGCCCGGCTATCGATTGATGCTACCGCTAAACGCGGTCTGTCAATGGAAGGTACATGTTCATCGTTTGGCAGCCCATTACTTCGTGACCTTTGCATAAAAGTAATAAAAAAAAACATGAAGAACGGCTGAAATTAAGCCACCGTTGTTGAAAAGGTATAACAGTACGACTGCGTATACGTAGCATAATTAATATAGTTTTGAAAATAACCGGAAACTAATTATCTTGTAGCTCCTGGACACCCGGGCAAGTGAAGGCCGAAAGGGACTCGCTGGCTGATTAAACGACTGCCCAGCCGGCTCGGCCAGGGTCAAAAAGAGGGAGGAATTTTGAGAGGAGGAATTTCGTGGTCAAAAGAGGGAGGAATTTTTTCGAAGTTCAAATGAAGTACTTAGGGACCTCGAACCCAGGTCACCGAGGTCGCCACCGAGGTTTTCTCATTGAGCGGGCGAACGAAGCGGGCCTGCGTTTCTAATTCAAGACATGTTGAGGGTTCGACGAAACGGAAGTTCCAGTGACCTTTAGGTCGCCACGTGACCTTTGGATTGCCACCGATTTTCATGGTGATTCCTGTACACTTTGACATTCCGAAGTACTCTGAACTGAAGTACTCGGGGACCTCGCACTGGGCCCCCGAGGTCGCCATCACGACATGTACCATATATACACAGTGTGATGTGCTGAATGGAATTAAGGTACTCGGGGACCATCGAACCCGGGTCCCTGAGGTCGCCACTACGATATGTACTACCTATACACAGGTTGCTATGCTGAGTCTAACTGAAGTGCTGGGGGTTCTCGGACCCGCGTCCCCCAAGTCGCCACCACGATATATATTTTATAGAAGTATGCATACTAGTTGATGTGATTTATCAACCACTGCTGGAGGAAGTAGAAACCGAGAATATTTCTAAATATTCATAAATGTTTCTAATTTTTTTCGCTAATATTTCTTATTATATTTCCACATATTCCTAAATATATTTCTTAATATTCCAGATATTTTTCAATATATTCCTGACATTATTTCAACATATATTTTCATAGTAAAAAGTATATCTGCAAATACGTCTTAACACATTTCTGAATTTAGTTTTGATTATTCTAATATTAAACTTTGGTATTTCTGCACGCATTTCTGCACATATTTCTACAATTTCTAAATATTTCTTAATACTTCTAAATATAATATTTCTAAATATTTTGATTATTCCAAAATATTTCTACATATTTTTTCAATAGTTCTCTTTAATCCTATGAATATTTTTTTGTTATATATTTTAACATTTTTCTAAATTTATTTTTAAAATGTAAATATATTTCTAGATATTTCAGAAAATACTAATTGGTATTTTTCGATAGGTTCGGATATATATAATTATTTCTTGATACAATACTGAATGTTTCATAAATATACTAATTATGTTATTACTTTTTAAATATTTCTACTTCTTTTAAAACATTTTAAAATATTTCTACTTCTTACTTGCTCTACCATTTTGTATTACATAAAACGAAAACTTTGAAATCCTGATTACAGTGTTGAGAATAATTGAAAATTAAAATACCGTTAACATAAAACTCGTTAATAAAACCAGGTTTTCAAAAACCGTTAAAATACCTAAATTTCAAAGTATTAAAATCCATGGCATGTCGAATTATATCTAACCAGAACCTCTACGTTTCTATCCCTGCTGATTTTGTTCTAAACAAATTACTTTATGTAATGCTACTGTAGAGATAAATTCGAACACCACTTTCAGAATGAATTTCTTAATGGTTACCGCAAGCTTTCGATCATAAATTCATAAATTCATATTCCTTTATCTGCGGATGACACGTTGTAACATAACTACACATGACACAATGTTTCGTAATGTGCCGGTTTGTTTTAAAACTCATTGAAATCTTATACAATGTGTAGTATCTCCTACCCGAGTAGTATAAGGTCTCATACACCCCCCTTAGGACAAGCGGGCTGCGGTTTCAAATTTAAAATGTATAAGGAAACGAATGCGTTAAGCATTTACACGTAAGTGCCGAAGCTGCAGAATCAGCCTAGCAGATAGGGCTTTTAGTTGCAGATCTAAATTTTATTATGAACCATCTTGTTACAATCGTACATGTAAATGCGCATAAGTATGTGAACCGTTTTCATACCAAACAACTGATCTAGCAATTTTTTTTCATAAACACATTACAGGCATCGAAAAAAATTATTCTTAAGCTTGGAAAGATTTCCAAAAATTTGGTTCCGTCACTTCCGCGTGAAATCTTACCGATCAGTTGTTGCGCACAAAAAAACGCGTTCACGCTCGTGTACGGACAACCACTAAATTTGCACGGTTTTTTAAAATTATTTTAAAGCACTATGGAGGAATGATTGACATCTCATTGTATAACTTCAGTACACAGCACCATCAAAGTTTTGTTGTCGGAGTTTTGCATACATCGTACGTTCTTCCCAGTATCGCGCGTTTCCAATTGATTTTGACTATATTGTTTTTTTAAAAGATGCAAAATTATCCAAGAATAATATGCAATTAATTATAATTTCTGTTTCAAAAATTAACTGCATACTGCTTTCAAAATAACTGCCTTCAAATTAAAAAGGAAAATTTAGGAATCCGTTCGAAAGTCCGAATTCAAATTTTAATTGAACGGGCAAATACAACTTTTTTCAAAAATATTTTTAGTTAAAATGATTTTGATTTTGGCAGTAATTGCAAAGTTAAGAGAAACATTTTAATTTCCTTTTAAAAATCATGAATTACTTTCATATTTCGGATTTTTAAAATAAAAAATAATTAAACAGCCAGAAGATTTTTAGGATTTTCATTTACTTTTATTCGAGCGAGTTTTATCTCATTTTTTATTCATCACTTAACACAGTGAGTTAAGTTCTATTGCGAATCGCTTTTCATCATTTGTTAACTTATCCTGTGCAGATGGATGCATATGAAATATATAGGAGAATAAATTCATTGGAACCGATATATATATACCCGGTATATTATATACAGAACACTCTGAGAACAGTATATCTATACGAGGATGCACGCAGTCAAACCGACAGTAAATTTTTTGAGCGAGACCAACCGACAACCGTGCACATAGTGCAAGCGACTGCCAACCATCCACGGATGGCTGTCACCTGTACCACGCATACAGTGCAAACGATACCAAGCCCTTTCACGGGTGGCTGTTATATGAAAAATAATCCACTTGTGAGCGTGGTTGTCGGTTGGTCTCGCTGAAAAAATTTACTGTCGGTTCGACTGCACGCATACTCGTATAGAGATTGAGAACGCATAGATGTGAACTTGTAGACACGATGTGAACTAGCCTAGCGGATCTAATATTAAGAAATATCTAGAAATATTTAAAAGTTGTAGAGATACGTACAGAAATATCAGAAAACATAATTTTGGAATAATCAACAATTCATTCAGAAATGTGTTAAAACATAATTGTAGATTCGAGGGACGCGGTTCCGAGGTCCCGGAGCACCTCAGCTCGACTTAGCATAGCAAACAGTGAATATATGTTACATATGGTAGTGGCAACCTCTGGGACTTGGGTTCGGTGGTCCCCGGGGACTTTAATTCCACTCAGCACATCACACTGTGCATATATGGTACATGTCGTGATGGCGACCTCGGGGACCCAATTCGAGGTCCCCGAGTACTTTAGTTCGACTCAGCATGTCAAAGTGTATAGGAATCACCATGAAAATCGGTGGCAATCCAAAGGTCAAGTGGCGACCTAAAGGTCACTGGAACTTCCGTTTCGTCGAACCCTCAACATGTCTTGAATTAGAAACGCAGGCCCGCTTCGTTCGCCCGCTCAATGAGAAAACCTCGGTGGCGACCTCTATGAAAATATATGTTGAAATAATGTCAGGAATATATTGAAAAATATCTGGAATATTAAGAAATATATTTAGGAATATGTGGAAATATAATAAGAAATATTAGCGAAAAAAATTAGAAACATTTATGAATATTTAGAAATATTCTCGGTTTCTACTTCCTCCAGCAGTGGTTGATAAATCACATCAACTAGTATGCATACTTCTATAAAATATATATCGTGGTGGCGACTTGGGGGACGCGGGTCCGAGAACTCCCAGCACTTCAGTTAGACTCAGCATAGCAACCTGTGTATAGGTAGTACATATCGTAGTGGCGACCTCAGGGACCCGGGTTCGATGGTCCCCGAGTACCTTAATTCCATTCAGCACATCACACTGTGTATATATGGTACATGTCGTGATGGCGACCTCGGGGGCCCAGTGCGAGGTCCCCGAGTACTTCAGTTCAGAGTACTGAATGTCAAAGTGTACAGGAATCACCATGAAAATCGGTGGCAATCCAAAGGTCACGTGGCGACCTAAAGGTCACTGGAACTTCCGTTTCGTCGAACCCTCAACATGTCTTGAATTAGAAACGCAGGCCCGCTTCGTTCGCCCACCTCAATGAGAAAACCTCGGTGGCGACCTCGGTGACCTGGGTTCGAGGTCCCTAAGTACTTCATTTGAACTTCGAAAAATTCTCCTCTTTTGACCATATCAAAATTCCTCCCTCCCTCGCTTCAGAAATTCCTCCCTCTTTTTGACCACGCAGAAATTCCTCCCTCTCAGAATTCCTCCCTCTTTTTGACCCTGGCCGCCGGCGGCCGGCTCAGCAATGTGTGCCTACGATACACCGGCCGGCATTCCACGCCGGGATACGCTCAAGCATATTTTGCCGGCTTTTCATACTCTTGCTTGTACTGCCCATGTTGCCGCTGGCATTAATCGACCGAAGCGTCGCGAAGGTCTTCTATGTTCAAGGATATTGAAAAATGTGGTGTCTGTGCGTCGGTCACCGCCACCAAATGCACAGCGGTGTGTGTTACTCGATGCACACATGCAACCTGGCCGTATATATTCACGCCACATGCAACTCAGTGTGTCTGTGCGTCGGTTACCGAAACAAAATTGCAAATATGCACGACAATTTTTGTTTCCGAATTATAGTTAGAACTTCTGGATTTAAAAATGATTATACTGCAGTTTTAAAATGTCACAGATAATCAGAAATGTCAGCTTTCCATGTCACCAATGTGATCAAAAGGTTGTCGTTCTTGATGACGTTGTTTTTTATTACCATTATCCGAAAAGTTTGTCTATAATGAGAGTAAAAATATCGTTTACTGGGGGTCGTATCGTTTCGTTTATCAGGGGGTTGCAAACACACTCCAATTTCATTATACGGCTACCTGACACTTTTGGCAGCACACTTCGTCTGGTAACAATCACACTTCGAATAGTTTGGTCACCAGCGTACGAATTTACCATTTTAATCAAAACTCCCGCAATTTCCGCAGTAAAAATGATCTCTGGTGGTTTCGCGTTTCGCGCGGGAAGTGGACTTTCACTTTACTTTTTAACTCCTAATTCGTACCATGCGTCGCTACTTTTGCCTTTCTTTTTAAAAAGAAAGCACAGAACACTGCTTCTGCTTGAACACAGAAGCCGCACACTGCGGAATAAAGTGCAATACTTATTATTTGGCATTTTACGAGTGCCTCATTTTGTTGATATCCTACGAAAATTCAGCTGGTTTGAAGAACACGCGACACAACGGTACACCGAACTGTAAAATTCTAGACCTGGTTCCAGGGCAAGTTGCCGAATTGGCGTTATCAGAATTACTGAACACAGTATTTGCGTTATTAAAATTACTGAAAACAGAATTTGCTTTTGTAAGATAAAGATGCCGCCGGCGTACAGCATGCTGGCAGTATAAATATGTGATGAATAAACTTTGAACACGTTGGAATTCACAATGATACGATGATTTGTTACAAGGAGAAATACTGTATTTAGGGGTAGACTACTTTGGACAGGTGGCGTTTGTGGTAATATTACATAAGAAAGCCGCGAACTCCTTACAACATGATCCGGCACATGAACAAGGGTCTTCACGGGCCACTTGGCAGCAGAATCCGTGGAGCTCCTGGCACCGATCACTCCAACAGCAGCCTAAAACAGGCCCTTTATTTAGCAGATTTGACAATGTTCATGAAAATTTAGCCAATAATCTTCAACCGTTCTAACAATTCATTTTCATTTGCGGCAGCTAGTTTTTACTCCACTGGCGCTTTCCAAAACTACCAACCAGATGTACAGACAGTTTATGCTGTTTAGCCTACTTCCCACATTAAGTTCACCTGTACGTCGACTTTTTCACCTTTGCGCGAAAAAATGGTTGAAACTTAAAATTCACATTGACCGCTCACACATACCTGCGCTTTCGTTGTGGCTACTGGGATGCGCATCTCCAGGACAGCTCCAAGGGTACTTTGGTGTTGTTGTATTGAAGGATGCAACGGTAGTTGCAGGACCATAATTGGTGGGAGACGGACATAACACGATGGCAGACACTAAAAACGCACTAAAAAGTTGTATTCGGTGGATGTTTACTGAACTCACCTGATGCCAAGAAAACACAGCATAATAAAGCTGGAAACGAGGGCATGGTGAAAAGCTCGTCCACTGTGGCAGTTCCGCCTTAGCACGCAGGGCCTTGTTGTTTTCCTGGCTCGCAGTTGACGGTTATTACTAAAGAACACAATTCTGCTTCGTTAAGTAGCTGGCGTACAGCGTGTGCTTTCCGCACTGATTTGCGCTTCGTTGTTCGTAACGGTAAAACGCTCTCGTAAAAGAGGTAGCGTTCAAGGTAAACAGTGTTAACGTTGATGGCATTCGTTTGGTTTTGCGGCTGTCGACCATCCTGTAGTTTCACTAGGTTGTGTACGTACTACCGGTGTTCGGTAGTATATCTGCAGCGCAGCAGCGGAAAAACGAACAAGTTAGCAGCCAGTAATTATCATCGAACAATCGAAGCAATCTTGCCTAAGGTCGTTTGTGCGCTGCTTTGGTGGCACAAGTCACAAATGAGTGTAGTGGACAGCGTCATAAAAATAACATCAACAAATCAAATGAAAAATTGATGTCACAAATAGTACAAGTACGAGTATGGTTGTTATTTAAACAAGAGTTTCTGTTAATTATTGCTGTTTTCCTGCTTAACTCAAAGGTGTTGGATACAAGTGCTGTATTAGCGCGAAATTAAGCATCCTGTTGGTTAATAATTAAATATAATTTACCTACTTCGAATGTGATTTACCTAATGCACGCAGAAAAACGTAAAAATACCTACTTCGAAAGCTAGATTAAAAGTATGAACAATTTCGTTAACCATAAATTCTGTAAAAAAAGGCTTTCACGAATCGACCAGGAACCGGCTGAGGAACAACCGCAGAAAGAATAAATTTAATAAAACAACCTTAAGAATTTACAAGCTTCGCCAGATGCCAATATATTTGCTGTCCAAGTACAACCTGGCGGATACCAAGATCAGATCGGCCGAACGAAAACGATCATTACGAGCGTTGGTGCGGGAGAGTTTCTATAGGTTTATCCAACTGTTGCTTTGCTCGATGGTGCACACTGCCCAGTGTGCCGCAGAACGCGATTTTCGGCACGGTGACCTCTCGGTGTGGACATTTCGTCGCAGGACATTGAATCGCACAAATTTCCCCACAAGATCATCTCGCTGCGCGGCATTTCGTCGAAGGACATTTGTTCGGCAGCACGTCACGCCGCGAGACATATCGGCGCGAGGCTGTTTCGATGACAAAGCATAGTAAGTTTATCAGGCAAGTAAATTGTTAGGCTTATATTGCAACACTCAACCATTTCCGTGGCTTTCGACTGGCACATCCAGCTTAAACTCAGCGCTCTCAAACCCCAGATTTTTTTGCAAGATTAATGATCCTGGCGGAAAAACAACGGACACACGGTCGTTTCCAATGTGGAGTCGAACGCGATGATTCGTTGGGGTTGGAAATTTAACGGTAAAGGCTCGATCGTGCGATAAGGCGCTTTTATCGGCATGAACCGTGTCATCCACCATGTAGGCTCCGACTTTGGCACCAGGGAGGTGATGGTTTGCAGTAACAGTTGTGCGTTTTTGAATTTACCCGGCGGAATGGTATTCATCTTGATGAATGACGTAATCAACAGATTCTATAAACCCTGTGTCGTCCTTCTTTAATCGAAACTCTTTCATAATATTCAGTTGTATTTTGTGTTCCACGGGCAGGGTATGAAACGAGCTCAAGTACTGCAACTCCACATTTCCCATTTTCCTTTGAGAGTTGATGGGGGTGCTTCAGCTTGGTCGTCCAGTTAGAGGCTGTGTTGGTTGCCTCTGTTGCCAGGTTACTGGCCAACGTCACATAGAATGGAGCCACAACGCACAGTTGTTTTTAGTAGTGCAGAGTAGGTAATAACCGGCAGTTGGCAGATATGTTTTCGATTGTTTAATCGAAAACATATCAATGCAGCAACAGGGCGTTGGGTCGTTGTAAAATGCGATGAGTCTATTTGCACACCACTTTCAGCAGTTATGTATCTTATTAATAACTCTGTTCTCTAAGTCGTAAAGCGTGTTTGTATTTTATTAAATTCCCGGTACAATAACAAATGTCTTGAAAGTTTACTTAAATCTTTAAATCATCAAAAAATGGCCTGACAACGAGTTGCACAGCAGCGTCTACAAACAGTTGGCGACGACACCCCACTCCACTTTACTGCGGTCCCGGGCCGGCGGAGACACAACGGCAGTGTCGGGCCGCTGCCCTTCCACTGGGAGAACGGCGAATAAGCAGGGCGCTAACCACTGGAAACCGAGAAACGGCCGAAAAATGCACCGATGGGGGAATCGAACCCCGGCAACGGCGTTAAATCACGTAGGCAGTACTGTACCACTGCACCACGACGCAATACGTTGAATCCATCGAAAGACTTTGTCGCTGTACGTCAGCCGCTTCTCTACCACGCCATTAATCTAACTGCGTGTTCATGACATTACCACAGTCCGATTAAATGGGCCCGCGCTCAAGCTCTGACTCTGACCGCTCAAACTCTGACTCTGACTATCAAAGTCTGTCCAAACTCTGACTCTGACTCTGACTGAATAACCCAAGAATAACTTAAGAAACCTAAGAAAACTAAGAAACCAAAGAAACCAAAGAAACCTAAGAAACCTAAGAAACCTAAGAAACCTAAGAAACCTAAGAAACCTAAGAAACCTAAGAAACCTAAAAAACCATAGAAGCCTAAGAAACCAATTAAGAAACCTAAGAAACCTTCAGAGTCAGAGTCAGACTTTGAGTAGTCAAAGTCAGAGTTGGAGTCTGGGCCGATTAAGGCCCGTGGCCAAATGATGGAATGTCTAATGAGCTTTCGCTCTAACTGCTTCTTCAAACCGTCAAACGTGTTCCAGTGATGGCTTGAAACGAAGTTTCCCGAAATCTATAGTGCATACTAGTTAAATTATTTATGCAATATACGTTATTTTTATATTACTTGTATTTTTAACATTTATTTTGTTTTTATTACATGTACAGAGTACAGTAATTCTATGTAATCTTAGCAATCACTAGAAGTATCAAATCTTGCGGAACTGAGCGACATGGCCGACAAACGTCGGTTTTCTGAAATATACTTATTTTTTTTCAAAGAACTCATCAATCGAATTAATGTTGCTTATGACAGTAATTTGTCGCAGGATTAAATTTATGGTTGCGATAATTGCACAGATAAGTGTAGCGGCACCTTCTAAGTGCTGCCATCGCGTTCAGTAAGTACGTAACATCTGTACTTCGTACTGTGACGCAAAGAAATTAATCATCAGCTTTGGTTTTCCTGAATAAGCCAAAAAAGTCTGAAAAATACTTTATATCTTCCGGGCGGTGAGCCGGGATTCGTTTGGCTATTTAAAAAGCTAACAAAGAATTATGTACCGGAATACGTATTTCAGCAGAAAATAATTATGCAGATAACAAAAAAAAAAGAAGATAGCAGATAACAAAAAAACATTTGAGTTTTGAGGTTGGAACGATTGAAAAGAATTTGATCCGCTTGAAATCAGGAGATCGGAGATTTGTTTGTTTATCTATCGTTTTGTTGATGTGGGTGTTTCATCGAGGAGAACGCCCGCTTCTGCTTATTGTTACCGTTGAGTCCATTACGATGGCTCTCGGTAAACAGGGTATGTCGTTGCCTGCTTATGCGTTCTCACTCGGTTTTGTTGGTTCCCTGTCTGGCTTTCTCAGCTTTTTTTAGGGAGCTGGTGGCACCATGGAGTTCAAATGTGACTTGTGCGGAAAAGTTGTCAAAACTGCCCATGGACTATCTATGCACCGCGACTCTTTGGTGTGCAAGAAGGCCTGTGCTAAAGCTCTCCGCCAGGGACCTTCAGCAGATCCTAACCCTGCACCACCAGCAGCCAGCGCTAGTCTCCAAGACCGCATAATTGAATCTAGAAGGATCCATGCCGTCCTCCGTCATGTGCCCATTGGAGCCAGACGCGCCTGCGCTGAAGCCCTGTGCACGATCATGGCTGACTGTATCGAGAAGAACGATGAGGATGCGGGAAGTAAATTGCTGCTTTTTGCTCTGGACAATCTGCACGCTCCTCCGTCCAAGTCTGGCCGTAGTTCCACATTAGCTGCGTCCGTAAAAGCTAACTTACAGGGTACCAGCCAGAAACTAAAGGCGAAGAAGTCGAGAAAGAAACGATCTGGCGAGGAAACACTGAGAAAGACCGTAAACGCCAAGCTACAAGACGGGGATATCAGCGGCGCCGTAAAGGTTTTAACATCAGAAGATTCTGTCGCAGTGATCACGGAAGAAGTCCTCGCTTCTCTTAAAGAAAAACACCCTGATCCGCCTGCCGATCTGAACTTCCCCCCAGCACCTCCTGTTGGTCCCTCCCCTGAATTCTTATCGGAAGAAGTGTACGCGGCACTGAAATCCTTTTCTGCAGGTTCTTCAGCCGGCCCAGACGGCCTGCGGGCGCAACATTCGAAGGAACTTATTAATGTCCCTGGAGAGTGTGGAGACATGTTCCTAACTGCGCTCACCAAGGTAGTAAACCACATCGTCTTTAAACCTATTCACGACAGCGTTCGCACGGTACTCTTTGGAGCGACACTTATCCCGTTAAACAAGAAAACAGGAGGGATACGGCCTATAGCTGTTGGATGCACCTTCAGGCGTCTTTGCGGAAAGCTAATCAGCAGACGTGTGCAGTTAGAAATGGGAGGTTTATTGCGTCCCGTACAATTAGGCTACGGAACAGCGGGTGGTGTAGAAGCAGCTGTACATGCCACCCGAAAGTTTTTGCGAGCTCACCCAGCCAGCCCTACTGTTTTGTTGAAGCTTGATTTTCGAAACGCTTTCAACACTGTTCGGCGTGATGTGGTCCTGGAACAGGCTGCTGAGAAATTACCGCAATACTTTCATTTTGTTTCTCAGTGTTACAGAAATTCTTCTACTTTGTTCTGCGGTGAAACTACGATGCCGTCATCCCATGGAGTGCAGCAGGGTGATCCGCTTGGCCTGTTGCTGTTTTGCCTCGCTTCTAACAAGCTGTCAAGGAACCTCTAGTGCGAACTTAACGCCCGGTTTCTGGACGATGGGACGGCAGGAGGAGACCCCAAAGTAGTTTTAAACGACTTCACCCGAATACGTGATGACGCGTCAAGAATTGGCCTGGAACTCAACTTTGCCAAGTGTGAACTGTACGTTTATGGTGGGTCTGAAGCGGAATAGCAGAGAATCTACGATCGTTTTGCTGCAGTTGCACCGGGTATTCAAAGACTAACTGCTGAAACACTAGATTTGCTCGGTGCTCCCCTCACCGACTGGTCAATTGGCCGTTGCCTGGATAGTAAGATTAGCCAGATCAAAAAATTAACTGATTCTTTGGGTGTTTTACCGGCACAGCAGGGGCTATTTTTGCTGCGAAACAGTCTTTCACTCCCGCGCCTTATGTACACGCTACGATCGGCCCCGTGTCATAAATATCCCGAGAAGCTAAAGGAGTTTGACCACGCCATTAGGTCCAAAGCCGAAGAAATGACAAATTTCAAAATGGATGAGAGCTCATACGCACACGCCTCCTTACCGGTGAAGTCTGGGGGTTTGGGATTGAATAAAGCAGAGGAAATTGCAACATCGGCTTATCTATCCTCGCTGTATTCCACTGACGAATTGGTACGCACTATTGTGCCCGAAGATTGCCCCGACGACCGGTCAGACGTTGAGGTACGCTGGAAGAAAGCACGGAAAAAGCTGTTCTGCGATGGAAGATCGGTGCAGACAACGTTTGTGGTCGGACATGCTGACTGCCGCTAAACTGAAGCCTTAAAAGAGAACGCCGACGTTATTACTCTGCTCGTCTGTTGGCTGCTTCTTCTAGGACGCCAGTGCGTGGTTGTTTGCATTGCCGGTTGCTAGCCTTGGTACACTGCTAGACGACGCTGGTCTACGGAGCACAGGTTTGCAAGGGAGCATAAATGTTGTTGTGGGGAAATAGTCGATGCTCGCGGCTTGCATGGTTTGTCATGCTTAAAAGTCAGGAAGGTACAGGCGACATGCGAGTTTGAATAGCGTGATTCAACGCGGCCTGGGATCAGCAAAGGTGCTGGCGATCTGAAGCCTCCTGGCTTAAGTAGATCGAATGGAAAAGCGGCCAGATGGACTATCACTGTTTCCTTGGAAAAATGGCCAGCCCTTGATATGGGATGTGACGGATTGCGACACATTCGCCATGTCTTACAGACTGTACATTGCCCGGCCATCTGTAGCGGCAGAGTCGGCAGCGGAAGATGCAGAAGATCGAAAGCGGAGCAACTATGCGGAGCTGACTCATCGTTATTATTTCCAGCCTGTGGCTTTCGAAACTACGGGAAGTTGCGGCGGTAGCACCCGTCAGTTCATCAGTGAAATTGGCCGACGTATCAGAGAACAAACAGGGGAACCGCGAGCTACCGATTTCCTGTGGCAACGTATTAGTGTGGAAATCCAGCGCGGAAACGCGGCTTCTGTTTTAGGAACTATGGGCTGTTCTACAGAGCTAGAAGAGATATTTTACTTGTTCTAGTTTTTGGAAATATGTGTCTAAGTGTTAAATGGCATTTGCTTGTACAAGTATGAAATAAAGTGATTATCTACGACTACCTGTAAAACAGGACACATCATAGCGTGTAAGGACACATCATAGCGTGTAATCGCATGTAAGGTAGCTTAAAATACTGTATCGTTTTCCAGTATATGCTAGGAAATTGAGAAAAAACTGTTTTATATTTGGTGGGCAGTGAGCAGGGATTCGGTTGGCTTTTTAAATAACTTAGCAAAGGACTTCGAAGTCGCATCGGTGTAAGAGCCACACATCGTATCTCTGAGACGTCCAACTCCGCTGGAGCGGCCGCCGGACTATCCGTTGCAGCTCCGAAGGGAAGCGCAGTTCGCTTGGTGACCGTTTTTTACTGTGTTCCTATCGCATCCGCAAGATTTGGTACGTGGTGCGATGCCACCGTAGTTTTGTTGCAGGAGATAGGTAAGAAGCTGTTCACTAGGACGGTGGAGAGTGGCTCCACCTGTGTTTTCTTCCTGCGTTTGATTTGGGGAAATAAAAATAATGAGTGTGCTGTGTACGAACTGGCCCGGTACAAACTACATAGCGTCAAAAATGAGATACATACACTAAAATTTTCGCTTGCGCGCACTCCGAATCACTTTTTTGTGATATTTTATGTCATTCTAAAGCTAAATGATTTGTATACATTGTTAAGAAGACCGTTTGTTCGCGAAGTATGACGTATTAAAATGGGGGACAAGTTAGGCACGGAAATCTGGATGCATATAAAACGTCGATTTTCGAATACTATCTTCTGTACCGAATTTCTCACAATTTTTGTTGGGAGTTTCTCACGTAATGGTATTTATTGGAAGTATTACTAGTTCTGCCATAAGAGTAGACAATTAATCTGCAAACAATACTCGCATCCGTCACATGCAAACAAACAAGCAAACAAACTCTTTTTTGTAGAAAAGATAGATCTGCGCGCAGCAGCCGCTGTCCGGCAATCACAGCTAATGGAAGACGCAGCCGTCGCTCGTCGCACTATACACTGGAATCTTCGGGATGCGGAATCGCTTTCCCCGGAGCGAGGTGCCCCGGTTTCTCGGGGACCGGCGGCGGGGTGGCGGAGGCGCTGCGCGGACTGACCGACGAGTCGGAGCGCTTGCTCAGCGCCGGCGAATCGCGGCGCAGCGTCCCGGAGCCGGCGCTCTTGGGCGGCAGGTCCAGGAGCCCCGGGAAGAGCTCCTCCGGCAGCGGCGGCTTCTCCGGCGCCAACGGGACGATGGCCTCCAGGGTCTTCCGACGCTTCAGCGTTCCTGTCACGGTTAATGCAGCGTTAACATTGAAAATGCTTAAATGATCTCAAGTCAGTTCTTACAACAAGGTCAACCATACTAAATCGAACTCAAGTTGTCTAAGCGATTCACCATGGGTGACTGCCTGTTCTGACCATGCGCGTAGCATGACTAGACACACTTATCGGAAGCTACCCATTCTGTTTCTAAACCTGATTTTAATTTGGTTTCTGCAGCCGTTCGTACGGGACGACGTCTAATAAATTCGGCCTGCGATTTGGCCGCACAGCGAACTGGTGTTTCTCGATTCTGGTAATCGTAATCATAGCTGATTCATGACCTTACATCCTTTTCCAATCTGTACAGTCGTAAACTCCCTCGAAGAGCTGAGTAAGCACTTCGAGTTGAGATGCTTTAAGAGCATCGTTTTAATATCTTCATGATACACTACTCAATCAAACCACGGGTGCTTCCATTTTCTTACGTTTTCTTAGGTTTTCTTATGTTTTCTTACCGTTCTCGGCCTTCTTGTCCGGCAGCGGCGGCGGCGCGGCCAGCAGCGGCGACTGTGGCCCCCCCTCGTTCTCCTCGGCCAGCGACAGCTCCGAGCCGGGCCGGCCGACCCGCCCGCTGCCCGGCCGCGGCGCCTTGCGCTCGCTGTCCCTTCTGGGCCGAGTCGCCTGCAGCGGCTGGCTGAGCTCCACGGGCGTCAGGCTCTGGCTGTCGCGGCTGCTCCGCAGCGAGATGGACGAGAAGCTGCCCAGACTGCGTTTGGGCTGGCGCGCCGCGGCCGGCGGCGTGTCGCCGTTGATGGACAGCGTGCTGCCGCTGTGCTCCCCGGCGTACCACTTGGGCCCGTTCTTGCGCAGCTCCACGTTGCTGTAGGAGCGCGCGGCGGCCGGCCGCTGTTTGGGCAGGGTGAAGAGGGGCGGGGCGCTGCCGTAGCACTGTGTGACGTGGTCTTTCTGCTTGAGGAAACTGGAGTGCAGGTGCTCGTAGTGCGGCCGCATGCTGTCTTTCACCTTGCTGCCGTAAATGTCCAGCGCCGCTTCCAGCAGCGGCACCTGTTAGTAATTATGCGATTTATCAATCATTATATTATATTTAAAGTCAATTTATTAAGCATTATAATATACTGAAAGTGTTTATTTTTTGGGAGTTTATGATGGAATTTGCAGCGTTGGCACCAGCAGCGGCACCTGTTTATGAATTAATCAAATTAATACGTAATATTAGTGCGAATTAATATTACTTTTTACTAGTTTTTGGAATTTTTTTTAGAAATGTTTTTACTGTTGTGTTCATCGCCGCTTCCGGCAGGAAAATGAAAAAAGGTTGAACTGAAAAAGTAATAAATTTTAATTTACAAGAATTTAAAATGTAAATCATAAAAACGGAATTAAAAAGCCTCAATTTATGAATGTAAATTAAGAGAAAGTCTGAATTAAAAATAACAAATCTCGTGCATTGACTTCCTTCAACCATAAAAAATCCTAAAGAATTCAACAAAAATTCCCAAGAATTCAACAAAACATATTTAAAAATTTAAGCACAAAAAAAACAGAAGTATGCAGTATTTATTCGTATTAAAATTTTTTAGGTATATTATACAGGCGTTTTTTGGGCGTGTCTGGGTGCCTAGCGGACGATGACGCCCTGTAAGATGCGGATCTTTTCGTGTAAAAAGAAAAAAAAATCAAAATTAAAAAAATGCATAAAAATTGAAAATAAAAAAGCACAAAAACTTTCTGCGTTATAATACATTTTTTAGGCGTGTTTGTGTACCTGGCGGACGATGAGCTCCTGCAACACGCGGATCCTCTCCCGCTCCTCGGCATCCGGGTGTTTCTCGCGGTACTCCAGGGACAGAAACGCCTTCTCGTAGTTCGCAATGCCCCCGTTGACGGCCGGGTCGACGACCCCGCCCAGGATCCCGCCCATCTGCGGGTCGATCTCGCCGGCGGGATTCTCCTGGAACTTCTCGATCAGGCGGTGGATGTCGTCGTTCTTGGCCTGCAGCGTCTCGATGGCCGTCTGGATGGGCGGCACGCGGTCGACGGTGTGCTGCGTGATGAGCGCCCAGCGCAGGAGCCCCGGCAGGGCGCAGCGCGTGTGCGCCGTGGTCCGTTCCAGCCACATGTTGGCGAAGTCGGCGTCCTTGGTGTGGCTGTGCAGGCGGCGGTGGTAGGTGAAGGTCTGGATGTCGTTGGTCAGGAAGAAGCTGCGGATACGATGCGACACCGGTTTGCCGCTGAAGCGCTCCTCCAGCTGCGCCACCGGCTCCACCTTCCACACCTGTATACACAGGGGAAAATTTCACTTGTTTCTCTTTAAATAATTCACTGGAATTTTAATAAAATTTGCAATTACAATTTTTTTTGATGAATTTTTACCAAGGTTAAAGGTCACCAAAAACTGCTAATCCATCTTAATGTTAATAAAATCTCCAATTATGCAATTATTTTTTCGATGATTTCTCCATCCACAATGGTTAAAGGTCACTAATAATTCTCTTGTTTATCTCAAACAATTCATCTTAAATTTACTATGACAATCTGCAATTACACGATTATTTTTCAATGATTTTTTTACAAGGTTAAAGGTCACTAATAATTCAGTTGTTCCTCTTCACATAATTCACGTCAATTATAATACAATTTGTAATTTCCATTTTTTTTATTTTTTCATTAACCTTCTACCAGGTTAAAGAAACAAATTACCAGAAAATAAATACGTGTATACAACACATTACACAAAATAATAAATGAAAAACACTTGTCCATATTAATTGTTCATTCCAAAAATTATTCATTCTTTCAAAATTATTCATTCTTTATTAATTTTGTCTTTTTTCCGATATTTTTCTTGAGGAGTACTTAATTTTATTGTAAATTTTCCTCCTTGGACATGTCAACAAAATTATCATTTATTTATAAAAAAGTATTTTTTTTACGAAAATAGGTAGAAAATAACTACAGCGTCGTATATAAATTAAAATAGTGTTTTCTCGCACCTGCAGGTACATTTTATCCGACTCTTTAATCTCATTTCCCGGCGGGTCCATGGTCTTCAAGCTGATACATCCCGGGAAGCGCTGCATCTGTTTGTCGGTGAAATCGCGGATATTCTCGCACTCGGCGCCGCGGTAGACGAAGGCCTTGTTGCGCCAGGCGGCGGGGAAGCCCCGCCCCCCAATAGGCCACGCGGAAGTACTCGCAGGGCGTGCGCATCTGCTGCGGACTGATGATCTTGTCGTAGAAGGCCGCCATGCGCTGCAGCACGTCGCTCAGCTTCCGGTAGTCGAACACGTCCGTCTCGTACAGCGTCAACAATTCCTGCAACGTAACCAGCTGACCTTTCCGTACAAGCGTACAAGCTCCACATTTCAAACGTTGCAATTAAAGAATTCATTCCTAAATTATTATCGAAATAAAGAATTTGTTTCATAAATATAGACAATATTATTTTAAAAATTATTTAAATTAATTATTACAATTTAAACTGGGACTTAAATAAATTATCATTAAAATTATAAGAATAAATTAATTTATATAATTATTTAATTCATTATAAATCTTATTATTTGCATAAATAAATTACTATTTTACATTTATGATTTAATCATTATTTTAATGTTTCATTCATTAATTTAAGAAACACGGAGAAAGTGGCCGATTTAAAATGCCGGATTCTGTTTTACTATAGAATTTCCCGGTTTATTCCAATTAAAAGTCAATTTCGATTGCCAATCATTGCCGAATGGGCTTATTTGCCGGCTGACCTTGAAGACGCCGCTGTCGCGGTTGATGGCGTACTCCCAGGCCTTGCCCATGTCGAAGAAGCGGATCATCTCGTAGGCCAGCTGCTCTTTTAATTCCCGGTGCGTCTCGAAATGCGGAAAGTCCGGCGAGCGCAGCTGCAGCAAAAAAAATATTTTATGCACATTATTTATGCAATAATGCGTCAATTTACCAGCATTTCACGCATACATTATTCCAAAACAGTAACCCACTGATGAAATTTATGTGCATTTATAAAATGCATTTATGCGCATTTATTTCTGAATTTTTTTGAATTTCATTCGCTGCTGAAATCAGTCAGGCGATTTTCTGCTGGTAAATCATTGCAAAAAAGATAGTTGTACAATTATTAGCAGGATTAAATGAATTACTCCACAGAGAAATTCCGCTCAGTTCATATTTCGTCCACAAGTTGCACGGTGACCTTTACCTGCTCGACCAGATGCTCGTCCGTCCACAGCAGGAGCCGCGCGTGGTGCTCCAGCGTGAAGGCCACCTCCGTGTAGTTGGCTAGTTGCAGGTGCAGATCGCGCAGTTTGTACAGGTAGCGGATGTACATTTCGCGCTTACAGATCCGCTCGTAGTACTCCAACAAATTCACCTACCACATCCATATTTTTATAATCAGTAGCAGCCAAATTACACTTCATTTTATAATTCTTAAAGCATTTCACGAACGCCATACTGCATGGAAACCGAGTCATCTGACGAATTATTTGATTATCTATGTTACTTTACAACTGATCTTTCAATTTTACAATGAAAAATACACAACTGACTCTGGAATTTACAAAAAAACCTGAGATTTTTATTTTACCAGTTATTTCGTAATTTAAATAAAAATCATCATTTATTGTATAAGTTATCTGCATTAAAAAAGAAATACTTGACAATTTATTTCTTAATCAAAATAGCCAATAAATAATGTTAAACTTCATTTACCATCAAAACTTTCTACTGTGTAATGCTAAAAGCAGCATTTAAATTAACTGTAAAATTTTCTTGTTGAAGAAAAAGCGGGTTACAATTTATTTTCTAACCGACTGAGAATAATCCATAATTACTGACAAGCACCGTCAAATTCATTGACGCTGGCGGTATAATTTATAATTAATTTATAATTATAGTATAATTATATATAATTTATACTTTTAATATTATAATATATTTTTATAATTAATAATTAATTTATTAATTAATATTAACTCTAGTTCTAGAATAATTTAATTTTTAAATAATTCAATTTTTAATTGAATTTCTAGAATAACTAGATTTTTTTGATATTTTCCATGCATAGAATAATTTGTATTTGTAGAAAATATTGTCTACTGTCCGCGGCGTACCGTGCAGCACATGCGGGACTCCACGTCGACATCCACGGAGGTCATGACGTCGCGGTACTCGAACAAGAGCCGCATCTGCTCCACCAGCTGCTCCACCAAGCGCAGCGCCCGCTCCTTCATCTGCCAGTTATTCTGGCACCGCTCCACCATGATCTCCTCGAACAGCGCCACGTAGTCGCCGTCCCCGCGGCCGCCCTCGATGTACACGTCCAGCGCCTTCATGGTCTCGTGGTGGAAGGCGTCCAGCTTGCCGAAGATGGTGCGCTGCTCCAGCAACTCCTTGCGACTGGCCGTGCCACCCGTGCCGCCGGCGCCCCCGCCCGGGGCGTCGGCCGCCGACTGCTTGGGCAGGCGGAACTCGCACTGCATCATGTCGAAGAACAGCGGCAGAATGGTCCGCCGCAGCTCCTCCACCGGGATCAGCGACAGATCCAGTAACCGCGTCACCTGACCCGACCAAAACCATGGATTAATTTCGTGGTTTTTTTATTATTATTTTTATTAATTTTTGATAAATATCAGATTATTCCACAATAGATTTGGGCCATTTTTCACACTTATTTGTCATCTTTTATTAAGCAAGCATTTACGTATTATCTTTTCATTTATGCACTTTCTTGTCACATAGGTTTTATTTTGGAAACATATTCTGCAATCAATTTAGCTATTTATTTTTCTAATTTTATAAATACCAGTATTCCCTTTTTTTAATGGTTAATTATCTTTAAAAATTAACTTACTAAGGGTTAGTTATTTTTTTCAATTTTTAAATACTCTCTTATTAATGGTTAATCATTTTCTTAATTTTCTTAAATATTCTTTTATTACTGGTTAATCATTTTTTTTAATTTCTTAAATATTTTCTTATTAATAATTGATCGTTTTTGTAATTTTTTAAATATTTCTCATTAACGGTTAATTTTTCCTAATGTTTTAAATATGCCCTGATTAATGGTTAATCTTTATTCCTAATGTTTTAAATATTCTCTTACTAATGGTCAATTAGTTTTGTAAATTTTTAAATATTCTCTTATTAATGATTAATTATTTTCTCGACTTTGTAAATATTCTCTTAGTTATGGCTAATTGTTTTTTTAATTTTTAAATAATCTCTTATATTTGTAAATTTTTTAAAAAAATTTCCTTACCAGATGCGGGACGAAATTGATCTTCTTGGAGCCGAGACTGTTCCACATGACGCGCACCTCCAGCGCCATCTTGAGCCGCATATCCTCGTACTGCTCCTGCAGCCGTTTCCGTTTATGCTCCGAGAACGTCTCCAACTGCAGCGCCTCCTGCGTGCAGAACGCCACGGCGCAGTCGAAGAAATTACTCCACAACTGGTACTTGAAGGGCTGCAGGAAGCGGTCGCGGATGGTCAGCGACATGTTGCGCAACACCTCCAGGATGACGGCGTTCTGCAGCATGATCATGTCCGTCCATAATCGCGGGAACATGCCCTTGGAGAAGAGGGAGCGGAAGGGCAGGAAGATCTCCTGCAGGAATTCCTCCAACAGGTGGCTGTCGGGGCTGTCGCCGGCCCCACCGCCCGGGGCGGCGGCTAACGCGTCGATGGAGGCGATCAGCTGGGTGTAGTGGGCGTCGCTCATCTGGCGGAAGATGCTCAACAGGATCACCAGGAACTCCTCCGAGATCTGCTCCCGAAAAATAAATATTCACACTTCACAAGAAATTTTGAGAAAAAATTAATCTGGAATTAATTAAGCCCACGAAATTTAAATTAAGGATCACCAGAAACTCCTCCGAGATCCGCTCCGAAAAAAATATTCACACTTCACAAGAAATTTTGAGAAAAATTAATCTGGAATTAATTAAGCCCACGAAATTTAAATTAAGGATCACCAGAAACCTCCGAGATCCGCTCCGAAAAAAAATATTCACACTTCACAGAAATTTTGAGAAAAAATTAATCTGGAATTAATTAAGCCCACGAAATTTAAATTAAGGATCACCAGAAACTCCTCCGAGATCCGCTCCCGAAAAAAAAATATTCACACTTCACAAGAAATTTTGAGAAAAAATTAATCTGGAATTAATTAAGCCCACGAAATTTAAATTAAGGATCACCAGAAACTCCTCCGAGATCCGCTCCCGAGAAAAAACTATCGAATTCGGAGAAAAAATTTAATTTGAAATTAAATTAAGTAGACTAAATTAAAATTAGGGATCACCAGGAATTCCTCAGAGATCTGCTCCCGAAAAAAAAATATTCACAGTTCACAAGAAAGTCTGAGGAAAAAATTAAAATAAATTCATTTAACTTGATTAAATTGCAATTAAGCATCACCAGGAATTCCTCTGCAATCTGCTCCCAATACCCGACAAGTGCTTCGGCTTTCAAAACAATAAAAGATGTTTTGAAAAAAAAATTCAAGTAATCTCGCACAGAAGAAAAATAAATTCAATTAACACAACATAGAGTAATACCGGATTCCCACAAATACAGCTAAATCACCTACGTTTTATTTGGAAAAAACAGGATTAATTTCAAAGAATATTTTTCGAAACGCTGGATAAAAGTTCTTCGCGGAAATCTGCTCACAGAAATGGACACTCGTTCGCGCTTCCAAAAACCATTTTTCCCCCCAAAAAAATTCAAGAAATCACCGTCAGCGGAAAAAAAGTTATATAAATACAACACACGGCAATAATTAATAAAGCCAATGAAAAATGAGCTGTTTACAGGTTATGAAAAAAAGAAGCAAATGCAAAACGTAATTTGCTGAAACTTTCGATAAAAACAAAATAAATCTAACTCAAAGTATGCTGCTTCAGTGAAAATATTCAGAATAAATTTTTACCAACTGCAGATCTGCGGTAGAATCAATAAAATTAAAAGCAGGAGAATTTCGAGGCGCATAGCACTTTCGTGAAAAATTGTAAAAAATCCAAAAAATCATAAATTAAGTTGCAGAAAAATTACTTGAACAAGAAACGTACCGGCCGACCCCCGAGGCGGTTGACGACCCGCACGACACTGCGCAGCAGCGTCTCCACCATGACCCCCAGATCGTGCGGCCCCGACTGGACGTCCTTCCCGGCCAGCAGCACCAGGATCTCCCCCAGCACCTCGGCGCACTTCCCCAGGATCTGGTCGTCGTCGCGGGCCAGCAGTTCGTGGAGGAACTGGCAGAAGACCGGCAACAAGACGCGCCGGCACTCCGCCAAGCGGAAGAGCGGACTCTGCACGACGGCCAGGACGCCTTCGAGTTGCTGCTGGTACAGCGGTTCGTGCAGCGTCGGCCCGATTAGCCCGACGAACAACCGGCTGACCACCACCGGCTCCATCACGCGCAGGATCTCCGGGATGACGGCCGGGATGTAGCGGATGATCGTGCCCTGGATCGTCTTGAACCTACGCCAAAAACAGACCATTTTCTATTTATTTATTTATTTCTAAAAAATTTAATTTAAACAATCAGAAACAGAAATTAAACTGACTGATTTTTTGCATCATTAAAAATTATATTAAAAATGAAATGTTTCTTTTTAAATCACTAAAAATTAAACTGAAAACTAAGCGATTTTTTTTTACCGTAATAAAGATTAAACTGAAGATGAAAACGATTTTTTTACATCATTTAAAATTAAATTAAAAATTAAACGATTTTTACAATAGAAATTAAATTAAAAATAAAATGATTTTGTACATCATTAAAAATTAAATCAAAACTAAAAGATTTTTTTTACATTCTTAAAAATTAAATATTGAATTAAATGAATTTTCACATCATTCAAAACTAAACAAAAAATTAATCGATTTTTTTACATCATTCAGGATTAAATAGAAAATTAACTGATTTTTCGCATCATTAAAAATCAAATTAAAAATTAAAAGGTTTTATTATCGTTAAAAATTAAGAGACGCCGCACTCGATGACCTTCAGCTTTATTAAATTTAAACAGATAAATATTTAACTTTTCAGAACTAAGAAGTCAGTTGTTAAAAAAATGGTTTGATAAAATCTAAGTAAAATTAATTTTTAACTGGTCAAAACTGAATAAATTGTTTATAACGTTGTAGGAAAAACTGACTGCGGCCTATTAAAAAGTATTTACTAAAAATTAATTCTTTTTATTTTTTCAAATATTTTCTTGCGTAATTACGTGGCTTTGCGGGACTGGGTGAGCTGCGCCAGGGCCTGCAGCAGGGAGACCATGGAGGCGCGGAACTGGTCATCCCCCTCGTTCTGGTTCATCTGCGCGTACAGCAGCCGCGACTGCACGATGAACTTGAACAGGTACTCGGCGGCCTTCATCGTGCGAATCAAAAACGTCCGGTCCTCGTCGCGTTCCGTCGCGTGGTTGATCTGCACGGACAGGCAGTGGAGTAATTTGTGGTAGGCCATGGCGCCGAAAAAGTTCTCCTTGATGTACTGATCCAGCACCGGCCGGAACTGCTGCTGCGACTCCCGACACACCTATAATTGCACAGCGGCCGCTCATCAAATTTTCCATCTTTCCAGTAAAATTAATTTTCCATAAACTTCCAATCAGTTTTTCCATATTTATTAATTCTTATTGATTAATCATATTACTGACAATTTAAATTTGTATTAACAATAAATAACGGAAATAAATAAATTAAAAAGAATATTAATTTACATTAATAAGGAAATAATTCAATTGTTTTTCAAAAATGGTCGTTCGAATTAATAATAGTAAATTAATAACAGTAATAATAATAATAAATTAATTAAAATTATTAATAAAGATTATTAATTTTAATTTATGACAATAAAAATTTCCATGAGAACAGTAATTCAAATTAATACGAATAATAACTTAAATTCATATGAATAATTTGCCACATTAATTCGCACACTAATATAAAACAATTACGAAAACAATTTAAATTATTAGGAAGAATAAATTAATAAATTATTTGGAATATTTAAAAGGATAATATTACTGACCAGATTGAGGAACAGTAATTCAAATGGATACGAATAATAATTTAACTTCATACGGGTAATCTGCCATATTAATTCGAGTAATAATATAAAATAATTGCGAAAATAATTTAAATTATTAGGAATAATAATTTATTAGAAATAATAAATTATTAGAAATAATTCAAAGGGTAACATTACTAACCAGAGTGAGGAACAGTAAGTCAAATTAATACGAATAATAATTTAAATTCATACGAATAATCTGCCATATTAATTCGAATATTAATTTAAAATATTACGAAAAATAGTTAAAATTTCTAGGAATAATTTAAAAAATATTCCAACCGACCAGATTGATCATGTGGACGAGGGCGCGGAAGACCAGGGCGTCGACATGATCCGGATCGGGCGCGGTGTTGTAGGAGAGGATGTCGAAGAGGACGTCGAGGATGTCCTGGAGGAAGCGCAGCACCTGCGTCGCCGGCATCTCTAATATCGCTTTTAAATTGTTGTGGATGGTCGCCGAGCTCGTCTTCCACTTGAGCAGTCCGAGTAAGTGCACGTTCTGCGTCAACTTGGTGGAACAGACCTGGCTGCTGACCAGGAAGACCTCGCGCGGACTGTAGGTGAAGCAGCCGGCTGCCGGGAGGGCCGCGCCCTTCTTCTCCGTGTACGCCGCGCTGGTCAGGTCGATCTTCTGCTCTTCTGACGGCAGTTCCAGATACGCCACCGATGCACTCTTATCTACGGTGAAAAAATTTTTTGCAATGTTTTTGAAGGATTAGACAAATAAGAATCACGAAATAAAGTATGGAAAAGATTTTCAACTGTTTTTTTCCCCCGAAAAAAAATCGGGAAAATTCAGCGGCAGATGTTCTGCAATGATTTTGACACGTAATCTGATCTGGGAAATAAGAGATAAAAAGTGACGAATTCGTAATAATTGTTTCGAAAATCCTTCCAAGTTTCTTCACATAAATGTTAGATTTATTAATTTATTTGTCACGATGCTGCGCTGTAATGACTTTTAAAGTGTATTAAATTTTACCATTTGAATATAATAAAGTTTAATAATAAAATGGCTCTAAAACCGAGCAATTTTAATATAAACTTAAGTTAATTTTTTAATTTAAATTTTATGTAAATACATCGCAAAAATTATTCTACGTCATTAATCATTTAAATCTACACACGGCTAAAATCAAGGGCTTTAATTTACGAAATTCGAACAATTTTATTACAAAATTTAAATTAATTTTTTTATTAAGTTAAAAAAAATTACTAAAAACCATTATACTTGTAAATCATTATTTTATCATCTAAATTTCCACAGGGCGTAACAAATTAAAGAAATCGAACAACTTTATTATAAATTTAAAATATTTTTTTATAAAGTTTAATAAGAAAACATAACTAAAAATCATTCTAAATAATTTATTATCCAAATTTTCACACGGCTTAATTAGTTAAAAAATTCCCATTTTCTCTCGCTGACCTTTCTCATCCGTGCTGTACTTCCTCCCGTCGATGCGGTACAACGCCAGCCGGTAGCTCTTATCCGGCAGCGCCGTGCCGTCGTCGCTCTTCAGTGGGAGATACGCCAGGGCAAAGGGCTTCTCATTCTTATCCTTATTCTCGTTGGAGCTGCGGTGTTTGAAGGTGAAGCGGACGTGGGAGCTGGCGAACTGCTGGAAGCCGACGCTGAGCTTGACGGTCTCGCTCCAGCGCGGCTTGTCCTCGTGGTAGTACACCACGGACTGGTGCCGGTCGCCGGAGGGCACGCCCACGCCGGCGGCGATGGCGGCCGGGAGGACGGCGCCGGCGTCGTCGCAGACGGCCACGCTGACCTCCACGTTGCGGGTGGCCTTGAATTCGGCGCGCTCCAGACTGATGTAGATGTCGTTGCGCACGTCCGCGGGCACGACGACGTCGGGGTGGCTCAGGAGGCGCGCCACCGGGGGACTGCCCACGAACAGGTACGGGTGCTCCTCGCGCACCTACCAGAAAAATCAAATTTATTCCAATTTATTCCCCAATTTTTTCTAATTTTTTTTTTCACATTATTCTCCACAATTTTTTCTTATGTAATTAAATTAAGCGGCTAATGTTCCTTCATTACAGTGATTTCTTTCAATTCTTATTTTACATTTATTCAATAATAATTATTATTGATTGGATTTCCGCATATCACTGAATTACTGCAGCCAATATTTTTTTCAATTTATTTATCAAGGTTTCCCTGCTAAAGTGATATTTATTTACGGAATTCTTTATAAACAGTTTTCTACGACTATTATTAACAATAAATTTTCCGTTTGTTACATGAATTAATTGCCGCAATTTAAGCCACTACTTTTATCTACTCTAGTTATTTAGTGAATTTTATTAATACGAGTATAAAAATACTGGATAGCAATTTTCACGGAGAAAATACAGCTAATTTTACAGCTTTTTCCTACCTATAAGTTGCAGCATACAAATCATTTCCAAAACTTTTTTACGAATTATTTTTAAGGTCTACTTCAATTTGTTTCTAATAAATCTTTTCTACAATTAAATTAATTAAAACAGTGGCAAGCTTATTCAATAATTTTCTTCTCGAATTTCTTTTCCGCTTGCCCGAATGACGCAACTTCCGGCGTTGCCTGTACGTGCGGTACCAAAAATATGTTTTGTATTTGATATTGCGAAATATTATTTATCTGACGCAGCACATCGGTGCGTATTTGTTTTCCTGGCAAACAGCATGTGTGATGCGATCAGCAGAAAGAATGCGCTGCGAAAAATGCAGGGCAGTGCGGAATGCCCGGTTGGCCGTGCCCTGAACAGTATACCGAACCGGCAAGTGGCCCGCTACGGTAGCTGAACGTGTTCGCCGAATCTTATCGCGCAGCGCTGCCAGATATCGCCGTACGAATCGGTACGATGGCCGTGCCCCGGCGATAACGCAGCGCCTGACTCATAATAACTATCCCCCAGATGGAAACGGTCGAAAATCAACAATAACACATTTTTGGGCCTTTTTAAAACTGATTTTAATCGATACTGATTTGTAACTGTAACTGCAAATTACAAATGATTTTTTACAATTTATTTCCGAATATTTTTCCTGTCATAAAGAAAAAAGCAGATGAAATTGAAATTAAGAAAGTAATTTTTATAATTTATTTTCTTAACATTTTTGCAGTCATAAAGAAAATGTTTTTTGTAATCATTCCTTTAATTTTAAAAAAGTTATCTTTATGACATAATATTTTAAAAAAATTATAAAAAAAAGAAATTTCATCAAAAACGAAATCCGTAATTATCATATGGATTGACATTAACGTAGTACTAATATATTGCCATTCCAGGAATCCAGAGTATTTTATTCCGTCGGCATTTTGTCTGAGCAACTTCTTACTTGACAGCGCAAAATTATTTAACTAATAGTTTTCAAAACAAAACTGTCAAAATTATTAAAATAATAATTTAACAAATGGGAATTTTTCGTTTCAAGCCGATTTAAAATTCTGGAAGCCCTGTTTTGATTTTATAGCGAAATTGCTGTGAACATATGATCAAATCTCATATAAAAAATGCTATAATAAAATTTATAATTTTATATAAATTCAAAATTTACAATTTATAATAAATCTATAATAAAATTTGTAATTTAAAATAAATGTTTTTTTTTTAAATACGTTTTCAGCCAGGCGATAACGCAGCGCCTGACTCACAGTCAGCCGGGACGGAAATGAAAATACTTCTCGTGCAGGCACACCAGACAGTTAACGGAAGGGGAAACACACCGACCACACACAACGCAACAGCGCCGTGAATTATCAATTTATCAGCGCGATCATGCGCGGAGTCGGACATTTCACGCATCGTTCTCCTAACGAGTGCGGATAAATTCGGAATGAATTACTTACATTCATTGTTAAAAATACCGGCTATTTTTACAACCGGCACCGGAAAATATATCCTGCTTCGGAAAATATGCAAAAATAACGAACGATGCGAATAACCGCCCGGAAATACCAAGCAAAATGTGCAAAAAATTATTTTAAAAATTCCTGGAAGAAAACCAAACGAAAAATAGTGCTTCATAATATATATAAAAAAACAAAGTTAAAAATTATGTCAAATATAAATTAAAGCAAAAAATATATGGAGGAAAACCCGGTTAAATAAATAATAAAATCAAACTTAAAATAAAACTAATAACGAAAATAAATCACGGCCATTTAAAAAATAAAATGAAATTTAAAGCAAAATAAATTTTAAAAACATATAAACGCAGATAAATAATCGCAATAAATTATATATAAATTAATTGGTATAAAATACAGTAAATTCCGGGGATGCTGACCTGTTTAATGGGTTGGCGGAATACTTGTCCAGAGACTAAGACCGTGGCCAGATCCTTCTGTTCGTTCGCTTTAGCGGCGATGGCGCGGCGCATGGTGGCCGCCAGCGACTCCGACTGGCCACAAGCGACGATGGGCGCCAGCAGGTTGTCGCCCTTGACCTCCTCCTGTCCGGCGTCCCCGCTGCGCAACAGCCCCGTCACGTCCAGCACGGCCACGCCCCACGGTCGCCGGATCACCTGTATAATATTCTAATAATAATTGCGCACAATAAGAAAGCGGGGTTAAATAAATTCAATAAAAATCATTTATAATATTCCTTAATTATTAAATTCCACGAACAAAAATATGTGTTAGAACGATCAACAAATATTCAGTACGTCTTCAGAAAAATCTGCGTAATGCAATACGATTAATTTGAAAAGAACAAATCAAAAACTAATTAAATGAATAAAATTAAATATTCTGGTTAAAAATAAACTGAAATAAAATTTGTTATACATTTCATTAACTCAATATGATTAAACTAAAATGAATAAACATCGTTTCAAAAATTCGGTGTAATTCAACAGGGTTGCAATAATTCCATTAAAAGTTTTTAACAGATTTTTCAATAAAACCTAAGAAAATAACTGTAAAACAATAAGAATACGCAGTGCAACAAATCGAATAAAATCCCGCAAAAAAAACATTTTCCAATTAAAATCCTTTAAAAAATAGCTGTAAAAATGGCTAGAATGAATCCCATCAAAATTCTACAAGAAATTTCGATAAATGAAAAAACAATAAATATGCAAAAATAAAAAAAATAGCAATAACTCTTCAAAAATAAATTTGCAGTAATCCTGCAAAAACAGAAACTGCAATAATTCGGCAAAAATGAATAAAAACAGCAATAATTCTGCACAAAAATAAAATCGCAATACTCCTGCAAAAATTTAAATAGCGATAATTCTGCAAAAATAAAAACAAGAATAATTCTGCAAAAATGAATAAAATTAGCAATAATTCTGCAAAAATAAATTAGCAATAATTCTGCAAAAATAAAATCAGGAATAATTCTGCAAAAATAATATTCTCACCTGTCCGGAGGCCTTCTTCCCCTCCCCGTTTTCCCGCAGCTCCATGGCCCCCCTCCGCACAATCTGCGCCACCAGGAACACTCGACTCCCCTCCGGCAGCTTCTTCAAATCAGCAAACACCACCCGCCCCCCTTCCAACGCCCCGCGCCCCGCCCGCCACTCCAGCACGGCGTTCTCCGTGACAAACTCCGTTTTCTGATCATCATACAGACTGACCAGCACCTCGGCGTCGTCGCTGCTCTTCAGCGCCAGATTCTGGAGCTGCACGACGCAGCAGAGGGGCGGCGCGGCGTGCGTGTACTTGCGGAGGGCCGCGGGGGCGGTGGTGGGCGGGAGGTGGGCGGTCTTGAACAGCCGGTATATCTCCACGATGCTGCTGGCTTCCAGGGAGGCCGGGGCGCCGTCCTCGCCGCGGATGATGGTGTCCAGCTCCAGGAGACGACTGCCGCTGCTCAGTTTGTGCACGGCGTCCTGCTGCAGACGCCGGTACTCGTCGCTGGGCAGGGTGCCGGAGAGGAGGGTCTTGCGCAACTCCACCAGGTCGTAGGTTAACCGGCGCAGATCGCCCAGACGTTTGTCGCCTATTTGTTTATTTCATTAATGCAACGTTTACAATAATCTGCATTTTTTAACATTTTTTTACAAATTTAAAATAAATTAATTTCATTAATCTCAAACTACGGATAATTGTTTTTTAACATTTTTTTACAAATTTAAAATAAATTAATTTCAATAATCTCAAACTACGGATAATTGTTTAAAAAAACCGTCGATGCAAAATAAAATCGTGAAACGTAATGTAGCTTGTTAAATAAATTAACTAATTTCAAATGCATAGAAGGCAAACATACTTATTTGGAAAATCGCTGTCATAAACAGTTAACAATACAAATTCAATAGTATCAACATTTAAATCTTAATTTAAATTTAAATCTTCAAGCGACTTTGATTAAATCAGACTGGAATAAAGGTGCTTCTACAAAAAATACATTTTATCAATGTAGAATAAAGGGAAAGAAATTAACATTTGAATCCAAATCAAATTCAAACAGTTGATAGTTTTTAGCATTGTCGTCGTAACTGGCTAAATGACAATTCAAAAAATACCACTACCGTAATTAATTACCATGGTAAACTGTAATCTTGATTAAAATTAAATTCACAATTAATTAATAAATTAAATTCACTCGTACCGTCATTCTTTACAGAAACGTCGCCATGATTAATTACCGATGTAAATTAAATATGTAAAATCAAAATCCGATTAAAATACAGCTACTAAAAATAAATTCATAATAAACAGAAACATAAATAGGAGAAAAATGAAAAATTAAGTAGAAAAAAAATGAAAAAAATTATAAATAAACAATAAAAAATAGAAAAAAAACACGAAAAAAAACAACAGACCTTCCTAACTGTAAGATAAAGTCAAAATGTAAAAAAATTGTAAAAAAGGTTTACAGCTTTTAGTACAGGAAAAAAATCAAGGAAAAAATTATGTTCTGCTACAATAATAATTATCAGCGAGAGAAGATCTTGTCAATATTAGCGCGCTGCTTGAGCCTGCTTATCAGTTTACAGAACGCACGATACACTTTCCCGTCTTTACCTTGGACAAACAGCCGGCGCGCTCCCTGCGCCCACTCCTTCAGCGTGACGAAGATCTCGTGCGCCACGTGCGCCTCCTGCTGCCCGGGCCCCTTCCCCCGGCCGCGCGCCCCCGCGGGGGCCAGGGGGCGCACGCGCACGGCGTTCTTGGGGAAGACCCCCGTGCGCCCCTCGGGGTCCAGGGCCCAGCCGCGGTACCAGCCGCCCTCGTGCTCTGCAACAAGTGGCTGTGTCATAAGAAACCCCAGAAACCTAAGAAACCACGCAGCGGCCGCACCTTCGATGATGCGCACCCGATCCCCCAGGACCAGGTTCAGCCCCTGCGCCGCGGGGGGCAGGAGTGACTCCCCGGGGAAATTGTACACCACCACCCCGATCAGCTCCTCATCCACGACACAGGGACGCCAGGCGGCGATATGCATGATTCAGAACAGGGAGTAATTAATTCCGCTGAGTAATCCTCACATTTCCACGAAATATTATAATATTCCACACTGATCAACGGAGATTTTCCATATCACCCACAAATATTATCGATGAAAATTAACCACGATAATTAATTTTGACAGGTTGAAGATTAATCCAATCATGTCGTGTGATTATCGGCCAAATAACTCTCCCACTAAACTGGGCTCATTTCGAGTTGTCAAGCATGACAAGCGCTGTGCAACGCAGTCAGCCGTGCTTTTTTTCCGGCCATTCATCGCCGTCCCACTGCATTCCGGACTGCCAGATTGTTTACACATACCGATGAGTCACGCGGGGAGGGTAGCTGCCCACTCGTGGCGGCTGCTCAGTACGTAGACGGTTATGCGTTTAGTGAGACGCTGTTGTGTCCGCCTGCGGGCGGCTGTTTCCAAGCACCGTTGCGGTGCAGCAAAAGCTGCAAAACAAGCTTGCAAATTCCGCGAACTGATGATGGGCGGAGCGTGCGGCTGTATTAAGCCAATCGTCACCTGGCAGGGAGGCAATGGAGCGCTCAGCATTTTTCAGCTGCATGCTGCGTAGGAGACGCTTCATAGCTCCTGAAACACACATCGATTCCCTTCTGAATCTGAGAATAACATTGTGTTCCCGTGGAAATAAATTTCCTGTTTAAAAAAATATATTTCACGAAAATCTCTGAACTGAACATTTCAATGAAGAAAATTTCAGGGATTCCCGGCGCTAGAAGCAACTGCAATCGCTCGGTGTGGCAGCGTACTGCTGATGTGGTCTTGACAGGTTTGAAAACATCCCCATCGTTTCATTTTGGATTTTCGTCACAAAACTGGACTATTAAGTTATTGGAAACTTCAGGATAGATTTACCAGTAACCATTGGAGGTTGCAAGTGCGTTGTTAGGAATTGGCAGACGGATGCAAATCAAAGTTAGAAACACGCGACGTAGGTTATTCGATCACGTGAAATAGTAAATGTAGGCGTCTCCACCGACTCTCCAGTGTGTCGAACATCCAGGTATCCATCAGATGTTCCCATGCAGCTAAGCTACACGTAAAATACTTACTTAGGTAACCGTATCTGTTAAAATGTGGAGTAATTAGCGCAATTAGCGCGCCGCATTGCGCTGCTCCCAGCAGAAAGCGCAGACGAACACCACGATAAAGGTCACCACCGCCGCGCTGTAGCAGTCGGTGAAGAGGAGGAGCGCGTCCAGCAGACCGGCGCTGTCGTCCTCCTCCTCCATGGCTGGCAGTGATCCAGCAGGCATAATCACAGACTCACACAGCCAAGAATGCGATCTTAATAAGAAAAACGCCTAACTTCTTAGTTTCTACGTTAAGCTGAAGACGTGCCTCCGAAATGGCTCGCGTACATCGGGAACGAAAATAAAATCGTTGAGCAGAGTTCTACAGAGTTGTATATATAGTGTGGTAGCGTTGCCATGGGAAACGACGCTCGTTAACACAGTTAATTATTTTCCGGATAGCTAAAATGTCTTCGAGCCGGAATGTCTTGTAGAAATGTATTTGTACTTAATGCATGTTTTACTGTCCCACCATTGCGGCATAAAGACGTTCCGGCGTGCTGCTGCTTCTCAGGTAATTAATTTTGTGTGCGTATTTTATCAAAATCATTTCATTGAAAAATTTCTCTAAAGAAAATTCCTTATGTCGTTGCCATTTCAGGTTTGCAGGCTTCTTTCTGTAGATTTCCTAGGTTTTATGTTATTCATACGCTTTCTTATGCACGTTATCTTATGCTGTCTTATTTTTCTAAAACGTTTTTAACCATAGCGTCACGACAATATACACGTCACAGCAATGCAGCCGGTGAGGTAAACTGACAGGCAACAAGGAGATTATTTTAGCACAAATTAGCGAGGTGACTGTAGTGCACTAATTAACGTTAACATCGAACGACAATATCTACTCTACCATATAAGTATACTGTGCTGTATTAATATGTAACGACAGAAAGAACTGAACATCAAAATTATTCAGTTCAGTGCATATCTTATCGGCATACATATTGATAAATCGTCCACTATACACATTTACGGTCTATTTGGCATGCACAGGTCACAGTTAGGCTACTTCATATATTATCAGGGCATCTAGTCTAGCTGCCAACAAATAACAAGCGGGTAACCGAGAACGGGAGAGCCCGGCACAGTGCGCCGGACCGGGAACTGAAGAGGGATATGAGATCGGGATGCAGCGTGTCCAAACGCTCGAGCCGGCACCCAGGTAGGACGCTTTAAAGAATACGCACAAGCAGCGCTGTAATTATTCCTGGGTTTCCTCCTCGATGATGTCCTCGTTGGTGAAGTTCTGGTACTTTTCGCCTTCCGTAATGTTCTTCAGCCGCATCGAGTAGCGCAATGGTGGTCCCCACCAGACGGATAAGAAGAAGTTGACCAAAATGACAGCGCTGAGCAGGAAACAGATCACCTACGGAACATGATCAACATTCTAGTTTTTTACATATATAAGAGTATTTTCGATACACGTCTTCTGTACATTATTTTATTGTCCATATTCCCATATTTTCTTTATTTTATTATAATTCAAGATTATGTACAAAAATGTATATATTATTTTATTTTTGTAATTTTTGTTTTCTTTTTTTTTGTATAATTTCTTATTTTGTTTTAATTTTCTTGCATGTTTTGTTTATAATATAATTTTGTATATTTATTTTTTACATTTCTGTTCTGTTATACGTATTTTAATTTCCATATGGATTATTTACCGCGGCGGTGGTGGTGCTGCCGCGGCAGATCTCCGCTGGCAAGTTATGCAGGCACACCGGCGACACGGCCGGATGCGGTTCATGCTGCACCTCCTGCCAGGCCGCGGTCACCGCGCTGCCGGCGTGGCTGGGCGGGGCCTGCAGTTGCTGCTGCAGGTGGGCGTTCTTGGGGTGGATGTGGCGCGAGAGGTGGCTGGTGGGCGCCACCAGTCCGGCCGAGATGAAGTTCCACAGGATGAAGATGAAGCCGAACAGGCGCTCCTGTTAATCCGATAGAAAGGCGTTAGTGCCGATATATACTTCGACGGCTTTCGCATCCCGGACATTTAATTTCACAATATGGATTCCTCGCGTACCGGACACTAGCGACTTTAGGGCATTCTACGCGTTTTTCCACATGACAAAAAGTTTTCAAAAACTGATCACGTGATAATTAGCGTTTTTATGTACAAGCTTGTACAAGAGTTTAATAAAAAATTATCAAGTTTTCTGATGTGGAACAACGCAGAGAAAACCGTGTCTATGGCATCCGGTAATCCGTATTCTAAAATATATAAAGGTCACATCATATTCTAAAAAAGTATATATGTATATACATTCTAAAATATATATAAGGGTCACTTTATATTCTAAAATATATATAAAAGTCACTTGTGTATATAAAGGTCACTTTAAGCTTACGATCTGGTGCGGTAATGACGGCCGCCGGGGATCCCAGACGCGCAGCCGACTGAGCGCGAAGACCAAGGTGTAGACGATGCAGGTGACGGAGGTGGAGGCGAAGAAGCAGGCGTACCGGCCGTTCTCCACGTGACCGCCCACCGTGATCATCAGCGAGATGAAGCAGGCGCAGCTCATGCCCTGCAAACAATGTAACACCGATCGATAATGCCGTGAAGGGATTGATTACAGTTTGTCAGTAATCTCCTGTGTTATTTACCTAAATATCTTCACCTCTTCTACTCGTACACGAACGCTAATGTCTGTCTCATGCGATATTATACGAGTATTTACGTATTCTCATGATTCATCGCTAACTGCACTAAGGTAGCACAACCGTGCATTACTGTAATAAGTAGCAAAGAACGAGATTCGCAGACTTTAGGATAATTGATTTTACGTAGAATTAATAAAAAAGGCGCAGAAATTAAATCAGCGTCCACGCAGTTTTGAAAACTGACGAAGGAGGCACTGATCGTATTTGTCGCTGTTTTTTTTTAATTCGTAGCTCACATTTTAAAAGATCATTACGGAAAATGATGTAGTACATATTTAATCCTTGAATATTAATAGCGCTGTATTACAGTATATTATACACTGGTTTTTCTCCCTTTCGGACGATAGACGACCGTGTGTTTGTGCATCGGTGCAATATATGTCTCGTATCATGATATATGCATGCTGGATTCCTTAATATACATGAGAAAAAACTGGAACATGACTTGTGCTACAAGAGGCAGCTAAGGATTCTGGAAGTAGGTGGAGCGGCCCATACAGTCCCATACAGCTGTCAAAATGGTCGCGTGAGGCGGCGATGTCAGTGGTTGTGTGAGGCGAAAGTGGCGGGGACGAGAGGCACGTCAAGTGGCATTTATCAGCCGGACAGTATTCCGGGAAAAGTCGGCTGTGTACGTGCAGCCGGCATCGGCGTGCACAAAGGCGGCTGCGAGGGAGCGTGTGGCCGGGTATCGTGTGGACAGCCGGCAAGGGGAAGAGCCGCTGATCTTCCCTGCCTTGGCCGGATAACATGAATAAGTGTAGAAGTATTTATGTACGAGTGTTCATAGCGATATCGACGTACAGTGCATCTGCTTGGGCTTTTTGCACAATCATTCACCTGCGCTAATCTACATTTTGAGCAGTTGATCACCCACGTATATACAGTATATATTCCGGTTTCTTGAATGTACACAACAAAAACTAATTGTTGTACATTATCACCCACGTATTCCAGTTACTTGGAGGTGCATAATTCGAAAAACAATTATTTTTTTATAGACCTCAGGCTTCTCACTGTGCACTCGACATTTTACACATAAATTATGTGCAAACTGCATTTAATACTTGTATATATGCGAAAAATACAAATCAAGTGAGTAAACAGATGCTCAATATATAAAGGGAAATTAGTCGGTTGTTGAGAAAATCCCACTTGTACGCGCTGTAGGATCATATAAGAGTATGAAAAAGTGTATATGATTTATGAAGTACATATATTATACAATTTACACTGTACAGCGTCTGTATGTATGAACGCATACACAAATATACAGATATACTGTATGCCTAGTACATAAGTGTATATGAAAATGTACATGCAGTTTTAAACTCTGAATGAACATATAGAAGTATGTGCTCTCGCAGTGCAAGTACGGAGGCACTCATGACGGGTGTGCGTGCAGCGTGCGTCCTGGTTTGTCCTGTCCATCCGGTCGCGCGTACACGGGACAGCCTCTCCGGCACATGTCAGCCCCGTTTAACGTCCTCTCCTCCCGCCCGCCCCGTCACCGCCCCGTTACTCCGTCAATTAGCCGGCCGCGGCCGCACTTGACACTAGCCGCCAGCATTCATTTCTTAACTCCTTGCCTTTCTCACTCCCGCAACTCCTTTTTAATTCACCACTTAATGGCCACATTCACCCCGTTGCCGGCATGTGCCGGCAACGCAACAAAAACCGCGGCGCCGTATTTTTCAAACGTCGTAAAAAGGCTGCTGGTTAAAACATCGTTTGCCTGGCATACTGTACTCGGTATCACCAGCCTTAAATGCTTTCTCAAATTAAAATTTGATACAAAAGCTTTTGAATTGATTTGCTGTCAGTTTGTCATAAGATTCCGCTGGTACGTAATTTAAAAGGTGATAATATAAAATTGTATAATTAACGTATTGCTGACTACACGGTACGGTGTGATTCACCGCACAAATTAAACATAACAGCCGAAGAAGTAATTATTGTAAATTGCACATTTGGAATATTATATGCATGCAGCGCGTAATTAATGCGTAGATACATTACTCACATAGAGCGCTACGAGTTAGTGTCGTTGATAAACATTTAGCACGTCTTGTGGCTGGTGAATTAACATGTGACTAATAATATTGTTCAGTTTCGCGGTATATTGACAACATCCACCACGACCACCACCAACCAGTTTACAAGCACGATCAGCGTGAATAAATAATGGCGTTTTTCGATTTAATTACGCCGCTTTATCAGCCTTAACCGTTCTGAGGTGTAGGAACGGTCTCGAAAAAACAACTCATTTTTTTCAAAAATCGTTATTTAAATAATTTAGGGTGGAAGAAATGATAAAATTTATTAAAATAATCAAAATCAATTAAACATTATTGGGACACCGATATATTAGTGCCTATATTAAATTTTGATCAATGTACTAAAAATTAAAACAGCAGAAACGTTTAGAAAATAAAATTTCAAAGAATCAGTTTTTAATTTAAAATTACGTGTACAGGCTGTAATGTTATATAAGGCTCAGAACTGTTTGAATTTTAACCCTTGAATTTTTATAGCGCAATGAAATGATGCGGTGGAGGACGTACAATAATGAGGATCTTGAGGATGCCGTAGGTGCTAGTGGTGTATTCCGGGCCGTACTTCAACGGCTTCCACAGCCGCTCCCCACCCAACTGCGGCACAATAGAGGAGCGCGCGGTGACCGGCTGTAATCCGCTCTGGCTGCTCAGCGAGCCGCGCGTCAACGACGCCGGCCGGTACTGCTGCGTGCCGGGCATCGTCCACACCAATCACCAAAATCACAATTTAATTCCAATCTCCACACAACCGGCAAGAAAAAATATTATACCGGTGCGGATAAATAAGCGATCGATCAGCGATGCAGCGCTTATATATACAAGCAATCCCGAAGCACAGCTAAACTGCGTTCATTTCTGTTCCGAGAATAATCAGCTTCAATGGAGATGCGGGAACACAATACGCGGCTGCTCAGGTTGACGCGGGATGTTGTTTTCCGAATGGGACAACCGCCGCGGGACGTGCGCGGACAGAGGAACGTGCGCGCGAGTACTGTTAATTAAGCGATGAACGGAGAAAGGGCACGGAGATTATCGCCGGAATAACAATGCAGGAGGAGAGGCACTCGCGGCGCGCAGATTAGCCAGATCAAGGACACTTCAATAACGCTCCTTGCGCCTAATAACAAATATATTCTCGCGCCGAATAAAACAGGATTAGAGAACGGTGCGCTGTGTGTGTACTTAACGTTGCGCTCGTCATGCTGTATACATATACATGTATGTGTGTGCAGGAAGCGGACTAGACAAACACTGCTCCGATTATAACAGCCCATCCAACTGCGCACACACGAAATGGTTAACCGGCTTTCCGCGCAGCTTCGTTTTGTACAGGTACTGTATTGTACAAGCGTGTCCCGTAATTTTTAACGCATCAACACAGTGACAGATACAAAAGTTCACGGGTTACGCCAAATTTATTACTACGGCGCGCTACGCTACATGACTGCATTTTCGTCACTGATGCACTCGATCTGAATTACCATCGACATATACGATAAAACTTATAAAAAAATTGAAGGATAATAAATATAAATAGAATATTAAATAGAAATAAACGAAAAAAAATTTATATATATAATAATAAATATTAAATATACACAAATAGAAAATTAAATATACATAAACAAATCATTAAATATAAAAAAATATATATCGTTTAAGAAATATGAACGTTTCTCCTTTATACTTTGTAATTGCCTTAAATATAATATTATTATAACTGTGATAGACGTAGTGCAGTGGCAATTGCTCATAGCGCAAACTTGGCGCAAAATACGTACTATCTGTACCTTTACGTTAGAAATTACGGGACAAGCTTGTACAGGCACGGTTATCCACGCATTTCCGCTTAGTGGAAACACAGGGATTATCAGCGCCCGCGTGTTGACACAATCATCCACTGATACAATACTACTTTATACGTGTGCGCACCGAAACGGTAGAGCTTATCGCAACTGTTTAATTTACCTGCAGTAAATATTCCCACCAAACAATTCTCCAGTACGTATACAACCAGTATATAAATTATCGCGCATACAGGAGAATATTTTTCGCTGATGTGCAGTACACGGAAAAACAGCGAGTCAGCGCGAGAAAATGACAACGTGAGTGCCGGGTGAATCACGAAGCAGTTTAAAGCAATTTGAAAAAGAATGAGCCATGCCGACGTCGGAGCGGGGCGTGGGTTTTACGAGTGCGCTGATTGTGATTGCGTTCGGTCGCTGGCTGCTCGTAAAGTGTGCGATGTATCGTATTGAATATCAGCGCGGCGTTCAATGGAAATGTAGGTCTTGTGATTGTGCTGCGGCGGCGGCGGAAGTTGCCGGTATTTAAGTGTGTAGAGTTGTGTTGATGCAGGTTGGTCAGGTGTTTCCGGTGCAGCGTGCATTTAATTGCCGGCGCTCGCTTGTGGCCAGTATAAGTGTACATTCAACGCTGTATGACTGTATACATGTGCCGGTGTTTTTTTCTATGCACCGCATTGCTTTTACTGCAAAAAAACACGCCGCACGCTTAATTTATTCAAATCGATCGGACAGGTGCTCAAGTAAAACACATCAGCTTAACTGTTTCATGTTCGATTAACGTCGCACTATTCTATGCGTCGTGGTTATGCAATGCCGTCGCATTTCATAAATTGCAGTAGTTTCTTGTAGTTTTTTTTTTAATACAAGTTTTTTTAATAATTCAATTTTTTTTAATACAAGTTGTGCAGTCATATTTTGTCACGAATATAACAAAAACTTTAGAATACGACACAATAACTTGGTATTATGCTGCCACGCCGGGCGGTCGCCACTGCGTCTCGCGCCGCAAGTCTCGCAATTACTTATGTAATTGTAAAATATTCACCTTGGAGGTTGTCGTGAAATATAACTTATGTTAGGTAGGAAAGGGATTTCCACAGAAGTGCAGATTACGTTGAAGGTAGTCGCTTCAACTCGCTTGTAGCCTTAGAAACTATGCGCCTGATGATGTTCTCATCGATCGTTTTCGATGTACTCACATATTATAATCAACCGAACACCTGATCGCAATAAAGTAGATCACGCTTTCTCTCCCAGCGCCAGCAGCATTTTCTCTGACCTCAATCGTGTTAAACTGCTGCAGAGAACAATATGGGTAATTTTCGATATCTACAGTTATAATCGAAACAGATTAACATAAAACTAATACAGAGCAGCTAGCTGCAGTTGATACGGTGACGAATGAAATGCTGTATTGTTTTTAAATTGCCGCTTCTTCGCAGTCGGTATACCGGCGTCGGCAGACACTTGCAGGGAAGAAACATTCGGTGCGCTATACGCGGCACACATCACAATCATGCAAAAGGTCATCAGAAACAGCCCCGCCTCGTCGCGTTACTCCGCCACGGACCAACCGTCATTTTACACATAAACTTTTTTTTTGGCTGAGTCATCATTAGGGCAAGGTATTTACGCGCCGCCGACCGGAAGTCCTGTGAATTATTCCAGAAACATGTAAGGACATCTGGATAATGTCGGGAAGGGGCCGGTGGCGCTGTACGGTCAGGGACTGGATAGAAAACGGGAAGCGTTGTAAGAAAGTGCCACTGCGGTGCTAATTCACTGGTAGATTTTGCCCGGACAGCGACAAGTGGCCTTGCAGCTGTCGGCGGCCTCCTTCTGGAAGGGATTACTGCAGATCTTGTACTTGCGCTGTAGTTCGTCGCAGTTGGAGTACAGGTTGGCCAGCGGGCAGGAATTGGCTGTAAAGGTCAACTAGCTGTCATTATGCAGAAAATTGCCAATAGACTCGCTGCGTAATTAACCGCAATATATATAAAGGTCACCTGTTTTCCGTGAACGTACTGTAATTATAAAATTACTAGTTGCAGTGAATAATGCTGTAGCGATGTACGACTTACTGCACAGTCCGCCGTCGCAGCTATCCGGACACGCACTGCACGGCTTCCCGGCTTTGTACGGCTCGCTCAGATCGCCGAAATTCCCACTAGACAGGCGCACGTGTAAGTGATTAGCACAGTCAGCGGAAGGGAACGACCGGCGCGCCGGTGCTATAACTTACCTGGGACAGTAGTTGCACACGTAATAGTGCCAGCCGCCGCAGTCTTTATAGCCGCAGCCCAGCTGGAAGGTCGTCGCCCAGCTCATCTGTAAATATATATAGGTAGTTTTAGTTTCATGAAGATATTTCTAATAAATGCAGTATCATCAACCTAAGTACGTACAAGCGGGCATACGTCACATGAATAATAACTGATCTGTTTTCCGAATACTAGTAGTATACTGTACAGTAAAAACCACCCATCGAAAATAAATCTCTGCCCTTTGATTTACGTGTATTTTACACAACTGCGCAAGTAACATATGCGCACTTGCTCGTTAAACAGTAATATTATAAAAATTATGTATAAGTATGTACGCATTAACATATGTACATACAGATACACATGTACATATACATACGTTACCATAATAATATACGGTACTTGGGCGGGTACAAAGTACCTAGGTAACTATTTGTTAATGTTAACGTTAACGTACACATGTTACTGTGTTATGTTAACAACTTGACATTAAAGTAAGTATGTACTCGTACGTAACATAATATGTTTTTGTGCTTTAACATGTCGTTTCATAATATGCAATCCCATTAACATTTATTAAAAATTATTCTTAACACTACATGATTTGACAATGCATAAATGTAACATATTGTACAATACATACGCAAGGTACGTGCAGTACCATTGCTGCAACGTACCGTATATGTACAGAGCACTTATTCGTGTATAGTATTTCATTTTTCATTATAATAAAAGACGTAGCAATAATAAAAATGCTGAACAGCGTGTGTTGCCCCATATGAGAGGCGAATTATGTGCTTACCGCGGTGTAGTGGCCGACAATATGGAGATCGTTGGGTTTGCCGAAGGTGTACTCTTTGTACTCGCTGTACCACATGTTGACGATGGAATTCCAGGAAAAGGCCCACGGCGTGGAGTAGGCGATGTTCTGGCCGCACTGGAACTCTACCGGCACAAAAAAGCCCATCGTATCATCTGGCTAGTGAAATATGTGTAATGTGTTTATATCGTATCATAATTTTAACAATAACTTAACAAATACAATAAAATGCAAAAAATCAAATAAATTGCTTCATTTACCAGAATGATCGCTTTACCTGACGTAAAGCGATCAATCTGGTTTTGCGTATTCTGATATATATATACATTGTAACATAACATAAACAATAAGAACGATTTAATAACAGCTAAATAAAAAAAGGAAATTTTAGTTAAACTGAATCAAATAAATGAATTAATAAAAAGTAAAAAATAATTTAAATAAAGGTAGCAATAAAATAAAACCTTTAATGAATGAAATAGTAACAAAATATTGGAGTAAAACAGATAGGATGAAATAATCATTTAATATTATTTTACGGGTTTATAATCATTGACATTAATTACCGGGCGTGAAGCGGTCACTCTGGTTGTTGTGCTTGTACTGGCACTGCTCCGCCCACTCCTGCGCCTGTCGCGCCGCCTCCGGACTCCAGACCATCTTCAGCATATTGGCCGCCGCCGGTGTCACCTGTGTCCTCAGACAATTATGTTTCCGCAAGATATATTCCGCCACACCGCTGATATTCGTGTCCAGCTGCGACAGGGCAACCCCCTCGGGATCGGACACCCCGCCGAACACCAGGGGCCACGACCCGGGGTCACTGGCGTTGTACAGCGCCGTGTGGTTGCAGTGGCGGGTGTCCGGGACCACCTCCGGGGTCGGGATGACCGTCGAGGTGGTCGGCGGTGACCCTCCGGGGCCGGAGGTGGTCGGTGTGGTCCCTCCGGCGACGGAAGTGGTCGGCGGGGTCACCGGAAGAGACAGGCGGGTGGCGGTGGGCGCGGTCAGTTGCAGGGTGTCGTTGGCGCGGAGGAGGGCGCGGACGAGGAGCGGGTCGTCCGTCAAGGCCAGCCACAGCAGCGGGACGTCCTGGAGGCCGTCGTGGAGGGTCACCGTCGACCGGGCGGTCAATAAATGCAGATTGGAGGTGTTGACACCGGACAGCGTCGACAGCGCGGTGATTAAGGACGTCTCCAGGACGTCCGAGAGGCTCCGGGTGGTATTCCCGGCGGAGGACACCCGGGACGCGCCGGCCAGTAGGAGAACGAGCGCGGGTATCGAATATCCGGGAAACATATTCGATTATCGGGCGATCAACTGCAGAATGAAAATGCCGGCAACCGGCGTTTCTCTAGTGAGCCGATTAATATAAACGGCGTCGCGCACTTCCGACGCAGTTTATGCCGGTGCATTGTGCGGCAGAGAAAAGGCCAGTTTGCTGACAAGATGGCTGGCAAATCTCACATGATCCGCCGGATGCCCCGGCGTCGTAATCCGCGCAGCAACAAAAACCCGGCAAACACCGGCTTAATGAAACCGCATTCCGCTATAAGCACTGTGTCAATTTGATTCGCTGACGCCGGTAAAATGCTAGCCGTTGTATGTATGTGCTGCTGTTCATGCGGCGTGACAATCGGTTTTTGTGGGACAATGTCGAACAGCCGGACTGGATCAACCGGGAATTAAATGCGCGTACGATGTGTCGCTGCGGCGCACTGAGCGTGATAATTGATTTGACCCATTTCAAAACCGGGCGACAGGGGAGATTTCAATTAAGAGTTGGATGTCGCCGTCCAGTCGGAGATGACGGTTGCGTGCGCCTGTCAATTGTATCAGTGGGACATTCAGTAAGCGACAGATTAAATATGAAACGCGCTGCTACTCCATAAAAAAAAGCAATATGCTTGGATTTTTCTCATAAAAAAAAAAAAAAAAAAACAAAAAGCTACAAAAATGACAAAAAATAAGAATTTATAGAAACTAAATAACAGCAAAACAAGTTCAAAACCTATTTGTAAAATTAATCCAGATTATTAACAATAATTATTGACACAAAACTTTTGGAAAATAATTCTACTACACAGTGTTACAAAATTTTTAAAAGAATTAAAATTTATAAAAACATAAAATAATAAACAATAGTATAATTTTCAAATAAGAAAATATCAAACGGTTTTCAAAATAGTTGATTTTCAAAAATAAAATTCAAAGTAATGATTTTCAAAAATAATTTTATAAAACAGTGATGTAAAATAGCAATAATAATTGGTATACAATTTTAGAAATAACTATTTCCTCACATTTAATTCTGCAGTTTGATCGTTACACATAAAGTACACTGTATATGCGAATGACAAGCAGCAATCTCACACCGAAAGCGCAATATTTTAAGAATTTGTGTACCTTCAAGAAATTAGAATATGCTGGCTGATCAAGTGACCGGTTGTTGAGAATAATCCTCGTATATACGCGTACATATGCGAAGACACAATGTCGAACCAACAAAAAACGCGGGGAATATGTACCCGTTAAAAGCCCTGGCCGGAATTAAACGCAGGAAAAATTCGGCAGGTACATGCTTGCCCAAAGGTCAACAAACACGTCCTTAAACCATGCGGAAACGCAGCAGCGAAGGCCCGGCACCGTCAGGTCAAACCACCAGTGAAACACCGTTACAAACGATTGAAAAAGCTGCGTGCTGCGGAATGCGGCGAATCCATTAGGTATCGGTCGGGAGAGTAGGTGCGCCCTTGTGCTGATCCTGCGGCCGGAAGTGGCAAGCGAGTGCCGGTGCATCTAATGCGCGCGTCTTATCAATAATGCAGCTGGCTGCATCGCTGTATGTAAAAGAGGATTGCCGGCGTTGGAGCGTTGTTGACTTTGTTGACTGTAACGATTTCCGCTGGCCACACGGATCATCGCGATACCTTCTTCCGCGCCAGGTCGATCGGAATCTGACCTGCAGGAGGATTTAAGGAAGATCGTAAATGGATTTCTTGAGGGCATTCAGTAGTTGCCTTTATGCGGTGAATAGGTCGATTTGCCTCGATTACCGGTCGACTTGTACAGTGCGATTTGTATTGTAGGTACTACATTTATAAGTGGCATGACATTGTAGCTTGTTATTCAATTGTATGCCTACTCACTTCGTGAAACCGGTGTATGGCATTGCAGTACACCAGTACACCAATCTGCCGCCGTTGAGTGGCGGTCGATTAGTGTGCTGGTACAAGGTTAGTCCCGCAGTTTTTAACATAAAGTATATTGGCGATGGTTTCTTCCTTCTTAGATCTCTTAGCGTTTACGGTATGAATCATTGCGCTGTGAACGATTGCCACTACACTACGTCCACCACAACGACAAATTCAACGCCTCTCAAGGTCTAAGAAGGCATTTTATTCGCCAACAGCCTGTACTCAATGACAAGAAGCCTGCGCAAATTTAAACTAATTAAAATGATTGAATGAGGTCTAAGATAACTATAAGAACATAGTTAACATTTCATAATTTGTTTCGATAGTTTACAATTTAGATCGATATTCGGGTTGCATCGACCATACCGCATGCATGAAAAGCGTACGCTGTCGTGCCGTGGCGCGCCGTAGTGTAAATTTTGGGGTAACCCGCGAAACTGCATTTGTCGCTGTGTTGGTGCGAGAGAAATTGTGGGACCAGCTTGCACTGGAAGTTGTTACGCCGGTACAGATACATCGATACATCCGTGTGACCGGAAATCGGTCTCGCCGTAAATCTCGTTTAGACTGCTTCTCCAACGACGCTTTTACAGCTTAGAATGGTTTGCTGTAAATTATACTGTCCCTGATACTTTTCATCGTAGTGGTGCAGAGCAGACAACGATGCGGCACTGGTGTAGCTTGCCAACTGCGGCTTGTAATGCATGAAGACCGCTCGGTCGGCGGAATGAATGTTAACCTGGAAAACCGGCTGGAAATAATACCATTAATTCAACGTTTCTGCATGTGCGAGCGCGCATGGCGTTCTGGCCCAACACGTTCTGGCGCTGCATATTAGGAATTACATTGTCTCTATCCATCTCTCTCGCTCGCGAGCAATCCTCTTGTGTGCGCGGCAACTTGACGCAAGGGCACGCCAATTAAGTTATCACTCACCTTAGACGCTTTATAATCGTATGGTAGGAGCGCATGTAGCTGGGACGCTATCATGGCTATGTTTTAACAGCAGGATACGTTTGCTGCCGAACGGCCGGCCGGCTACCTGTAAAGAGCCCGGTTCCTTCCGCGGGATGGTCCGTTGATTCTGGATTACGCTCCACCTTGAAATTGGTTACATTCAACTGGCACCGGGTCTTGTTTACCGAAAACCTCGGATTGCTAGCACGCACAGGATATCCCACTCGTTTTTTGGCAGTACCGCGAAATCAGCAATGATACCGAATTCTCGAAACTACCAAAAAAAGAGCTTGGATGATATATTGTACAATGAGGCTGGGTGATGATGATGATGAGATGATGGCGAATTGGAGTGCTTTTGATGGTATATACAATGCTAGCGGCAGCGGCATTGAAAGCGGTGCAACTGGATGTCAGTATGATGGAGGGTGTGATGGAGGTTTATAATGTGGGACGCAGTGCGCCGAACAGTATAAAGGTCAATCAAACCTGAATTTTTCTCAGGACAAATGCGTAAGGCGCAGCTATTCACATTCCCTGGCAGGGGATAAAAGGTGGCAGTGGCAACTGCCACTGCCGGTGGCAGTTGCCACCACGCGTTCTGGCCAGCGATAAAACGTGGCAGCTGCCGGAATCACGAAATGACATGGTTTTCCACATAAAATATTTGCAAAACTCAGTGCGATGAATACAGCTGATCTCTCGCTTCTTCAGCCTGAGAGCAGTGCCTACGCCTCCTAGTGCAGTGAGCACAGGAACGCTGTAAAGTCCCAAGACTACCAAGTGTCCCCGAAAGCATCCCGTTAACCTGCGACATTATTATACGGCATCCGCTGAAATTAGCGCCTCGTGGTAAACGCAGGGCATCACAAAAGCTGGCCGCCATGCAGTGAAACAAGGGCGATCACACGAATCGTGTTCACTTGTGCATGTGACGCATGTGACGGGGTCAGCACTGATCTCGGCGATGGCGGCCGTACTGCATTAGTAATTAAGTTAAGACCCGCCTCAAGGAAGCTAGAGCAAGACAATGCCGGGAAAGAAGAGCGACGTGAGTTTATGCAAGACAACAAACCGCTTCTGTACGTTCGGTAGCGCCTTGTTGTTGTGCTTGCGGATATCGTATCGGACGCAGCTGACAGCATACAGATAAATTTCTGCTTTGTTTTTAATTGCATTTTCATCCTATCTGAAGGTACTATGAATGAACAGTCCGTAGGAAATGATTTCCCGTTTTCACAGTGCTTATTTTAGTGATGTCAGTTGCATAGGCTCCTTTGCTACACTAGAAATTATTCCAATGCAGCGAAGGCCGGGAGCAGATGTCCGCGCGCTTCATGCAGGCGTTGAACGCTAACTTCCCGCCGGTAACAGAGGAGATGCTAGTAAAGGTCACGGCGGTGCACGCGCGCTGGGTGCGCACGCTGAAGAGTCCCGAGGAGTGGGGATCTATCCACACCTTCATCACTCTGTAAGTAGTAAGTACCCGCGATAACATGCAGTGGCTCATAGGGTGCGCTTGAAACTGATTTGCAGACCTAGACGAATTATAGACTTAGATAATTATAGACTAAATTAGACTTACCGTAAACTAATTATTTATTTGCATTGTAGATTTAGCGGATTTGACGGCGAGGGGAATCTGCACATGGGGGATGATGTTGACTACTTGCGCCAGCTGGATGTGTCCACACTCAGCCGCATGGCGATCTGCGGCATCAACGAAATCTTCCGTAACGGAGACGCTGCCGCCGAAAACTGACACCGCGGATGTCATTCGTGATAATTACCAAGTTACTCTAACTGTCGTGATACTCTTGTGTCGCATACGGTTCGGTCTGCACTTTCGCTTTCGCTGCTGTTGAACTTAACTCGGCTGCGATACAGTTTGATTCTTTCTTAGCTCTTCATATTATTCACGCAGTAGCCGATTGGTATACATAACAACAATCCATCGCTGTTACATACTAATAGAAAATATCGGTTAAAAATTTGAAGAAATAATCAAAATCATTACCGGTCGTATATATAACAGCTGAACACGGAGGTGATCACGATAGCGAGATTGCTTTATTGGGGAAACTATAAAGGGTCCCTTACCAAAAGTATGTCCCTTACCAAAAGTCCACAACACACACAGCCTCGACGATTTTCGGCCGATATCGTTACTGTGCAACATTTCAAAAGTGTTCGAGCGCTGTGTGTGCAAATTCAGCTGTCCGCCTTCCTGCAAGCGCACAACCTGCTGTCGCAGCGGCAGTCCGGCTTCCGCAAGGGGCATTCGTGTGAAACTCTATTGGTTAAAGTCACTGAAGCGTGGAAGTACGCAATGGATGAAGGTGATGTTACAGCAGTCGCCATGCTCAATCTGAAGAAGACGTTTGACTCTGTCAGTCACGAGCGGCTACTGCACAAATTAAAGCCAGTTGGTATCGGTGAGACCGCTCTTGCATGGTTTTATTCCTATCTTACCGGGCGTCAACAGCGCGTGAAGACCGGCAAGAAATTTTCCACCTGGTTGCCGTTCGTGTCCGGTGTCCCGCAGGGCACTGTGCTTGGCCCGATATTATTTATCATAATTATATCTGAATGACCTGTTGCAGATTATCGACTGTGAGATCGAAGCTTTTGCGGATGACAGTATCATATACTGTCGTGGTAGGACGAAAGCAGCAGCCGTGGATAAGCTGAACACAGCATTAGAGAAGGCAGCCGCCTGGTTTAAAACCAACAGTCTGGTGCTGAATGTGAAAAAGTGTGTGGGCAAGACGAAGCGAATCCGCCAGTAATTCTGAACGGCCAAGTCCTGACAGTTAAACAACATGCAACATATCTTGGTGTCGAAGTGGACCAGCACCTGAAATGGGACAAGCCGTATCAAAAAATGAAACGAAACATTAATTGGGGCATACAGAAGATCAAGAGAGTCAGAACCGGTCTCAGCATCCCTCAGCGAGCCACCCATCACCACGCCTTCGTTGAGCCGTACATAGATTACTGTGCACTGGCTTGGTCAACGGCGTCTTCGGGAGAGCAGAAGGAGCTGAAGAAACGGCAAGACGCGGCCTTGCGGACCATCACCGGCGGCAGTTGTCGGATAACACCGCAGCTGTACGAGCAGCTGGGCATCACACGAGCGACCGACCGATGGCAAAAGGAAGCGGTATGGCTGTACAAGATGCGTAACCGGAGCAGTTTTAATGTGCCGTCTTACATGACCAACCTGCTGCCTTTCAAGAAAACGAGTGCGAGGTACGAGCTTCGCCGTACAGAGCGGATCGATGCCACCACACGGCTGTTCATCGGGAAGACAACCCTGAAGATGAGGCTGAAGCAGTTGTATGATAAAATAACGGGGAAAATGTTTACTAAAATTGTTGATGGTAAGACTAAAAAACTACGTGGGGAAGAGGTGTTCGGTTGTGGTTCTTTTGAACTTTACCTGGATACTTTATTTTCAAATAACCTTCTGTAATATTATGCTACCTCGACTGTTCTGCCATCTGAATGTTGTATTTTTTTATTGTTGTTCTTATTATTACCTGACCAGACTAGCGAGTGCCTCTAGTTACGTTCTAAGAAAAC